ACCAAGATCAACCAGTCCTGAGTGGCCATCACCAGTTACAAGGCTAGAGTAACTCCCAGCTTTTATCGAGCTAAGTCGAACACTTGGGCACACACCTTCAACTTCTACTCGTAGCTCCTGCACTGCAACGCTTAAAAGTCCACCAATGCACTGTGCAAGAGCATCCTGGATCACAGACTCACTTTCAATGAAAGAGAAGGTTCCACCAGAAAATTCAGAGACTGAGTGCATCACCGAAGCATCATGATCTGATCCAAAACCAAAAGAGTGGACAGGGATCTGAGGAAGCATCACCTTGTAACTTGGATCAGGATGGTTCGTAGTATAGGTATCTCGCCCGTCAGACAAAAGGATAATGCTGGCAACAGAATTTCTCTCTCGTCTATCTTCCATAACCTTAGCACCTTTTCTAAGACCATCGACGATATTAGTCCCACCATTTGCAACCAATGAGTTAACAGCTTGAAGGGCTTGCTGTCTTCCTGCATCAGACATTCGTGTTAAAGGGAAGACACGGCGAGCTGTTGAAGAGAAAGCAATCACTGAGAGCCTATCATTGGACCCAAGATTTTGAATCACAAAACCCATTGCTCGTTTCAGAAGTGCTAGCTTAGTTCCTCCCATACTACCACTGATGTCTAGCACTGTAACTAAATCAATTGGCGCTCGGCGATACTGAGAAATCTGATCACCAGTAACTGCTTTGAGATGCACTAATACATCAAAATTCTCACAGGACTTGGATTGTGGTACAGCTGAGACCTCTGGATACATTTTCATGTCCATCATTCGCACAGAACCACGGTTCTCCTCCTTCAAGACATCAGTTTCACCATCAATAACAATCTGCTCCGCTAACCGTTCATCATCATCGAAAATAGCTGGCTCAGGATGCCCTTGGTTTATAGCTCGTTGAGAAGGAGGTAAGCAGCGGATAAGCCTAATGGCTGCATCATTATTGGACCGGTCAAAGGGATAATAAGGAAGATCCAAACTCGGCTTCTGTATAGGGATTTCCTTCCATTTAGCTCGGCACACTGGGCAAACGTGGTTGCCGTGTTTCACATTTGAAGCAATGCAATGAAAATGAAACATGTGCGAGCACTCCGCTGTGAAAATTGCATGTCCACAACCTTCTTTCATCTTAGTCAAGCATATAGAGCAAGTCTGCTGATTAAGAGAGTAGGAAAACAAAAAGATGCAGGGATTGTGAGTCAACAAGCTCATCAGAAGAAGACAAAGAAAACCCACATGAAACTAAGTGCTACTTAAAGAAACAAACTACCCACAAAAATTTAAAAGAAGAAAGAATCCATGATATTAGGAGACAATACTATTTTTCTACTTTAAACAGGACAAAGATGATGATAAATGTTCTTCTAAGGAATATAAAGGCTTCACTGAAACAAAATTAGGACTATGCTCTTCTTCATTACAACTAACCACAGACAGTAGGACTGAAAGATTTGAGCTTTTTGTATATTATTTTCAATTCACATAGCTCGAAAACAGAGCAAAAGACTTATCCAATCAAAGACAGGAAGCAGAGATCAGGCAAGACAAACTCTTGAACCACAAAGGTCAGGTTAGTGTTTCAGCAACTAAAAGTAGCAAGATTTCTCGTAATTAAAGAGATTTGAGAACATGGGTCATGATGTAACAAACCTTTGACGATTTGCTGCTACTTCTGGACAACCTTATACGGTAAGAAGAAGGTGTTGGAGTCATGGGCCAGTTAAGAGGAGAAAGCAAAGCAGCATCTGATAATCTCTCAGCGGAATTTAAAGCTGATGATGGTGGTTCCTCTTCGAGGGTTCGTGGGAGATAATTGCAGAGATTCAAACTCAAAGCTAGCTTCATCTTCTTCCATTTGCTCACCATTTTAGTAAGTATAGATAGAAACAGTGGACTCCAAGGAAATGAAACCAAAAATGAGAACTTTCAGAGAGAGGTTTGAAGAAACCAAGAGGGAAATGAGAATTGGTGGAGATTATTATGAGGATCAATGGAAGTGTTGTTTAGTGGTGACGTTCATGATGAGTGTGATAGAAACAGAGAGAGAGATTACTCTTGACTTTTTGAGACTAGCGATTATTTTGACTTTTGTTTTTTGGGTCTTGTAAAAAGGACTAATTAAATAATTAAAGTGAAAACGAAAGGTAAAGCCCAATTACAAAAGTTAATGCGTCTGCTTTATGCCATTATTGTAAACACTAATTTATGCTACAAAAATAAAAGACACAATAATTAGGGTTGATTATGGTAGTCCACTTCGAAATTTATGTGTATCGGATTTTGAATATGGAAATGTAAACTTTACTGTTCAACATAATGATTAATTGAACATTTCTCTAACAAAATTAAAAAAAACTATTGTCTATAGTAAAAAAAAAAATGGTGTTACTAATAAGCAATATTAAATTAACAATTCTTCTACAAAATCATTGTCCTAAGTCCTAACACTTTGTTTTTTGAAATAAATTGGTGATGAAGAAGAAGAAATACACTTGGGGACGAAAAGTAAATGATGAAAAAGGATTGGGCGTAGAAGAAATGATGATGAGCTAAGTCTGCGAATTATGAGAAAGTGGCATCATGAGTCCAATTAATTGTTTACAATTTATCTTTTCTTGAAAAAATATGATACGGAAAATTTTGATTTCTACATTAAGACGATGATATTTTTTCAGGTACACGTGCACTTTATCACCTTCTTCCGGCATATGTCATAACCCTCAGTAGTTTAACATACAAAGTCAATCTTCTTTCTTTTTATTTTCTTTCTTTTTTATAGATCTTTTGTTTGTTTAATCATGGCATGCTATTTGAGTATTTTCCTAACAACTTGTTACTTCTACGCTATTATCATTTGTATATATTTGTTCAATCAATCTTGTAAACTAAGCAAAACAAAGATAGATAAAACTTTGGTTATCTGGTTAAAATTATTGTAGCAAAATTCACTTAATGATCATATAAATGCTACAAATCAGAGAAATGCTAAATGAGGTTAAAAACTTGCTATAACTTTGGTTTCCTATGCCACGTACAAATAGGTTAGATTCGGTTTCTTAAAATTTGGTATGCATACTGTTGTTTAATCAATTTACCACGGAAAAAATAGTCAAATATTGACTCGAAAGTGATAAGACAAGCGTCGGTGAGATTTTCAAAGTGTTTGGCTGTTTTTTTTTGGAATGTCGGAAAATGCCATGCAACTAGACAAAGTCTTGAAAGACGTAACCGAAGGGCTCGACGAGCTCGAACGGTCAAACTTTGTCATCTAGGAACAGCCTCCCAACATTATTCTCGGATGGCTTCTATATTTTGACGTTTTGTTAACCATCTATTATAGTGTATTTATGTTATTACACACATTATACTAGCTAGATTCAAGATTTTATTTCATATAAGCCCCATTTCATTATTAAGTAAGTTCTAAAGATTTTAACATATATTAAGAAAAATCTTCTGACCAAAAAAAAAAATTAAGAAAATTCTTTAACGTTTCAGCATAATCTTAACTAATACGTTTATAAAATTTTATTAGTTAAAAATAATCAAATATAACAGCTTTTCTAATGATTGGTATATTTAAAGTAAAACACTGCGTGACGGAAACATCTTATTGTGTGTGTTATGTGTACAATGTAAACGGCAATGAATGTTATCATGAAGCCTGCATTATTATCCAACTTGGAAAAATCAAGAGTCAAGACACAGCTAAAGCCTAAAGGCAATAAAAAAGAAAGGAGCAAAGAGGAAAAAGTCTGTTAAAGCAAGAAAATGAAAGAAACGGACAACTAATTTCGTTTTTTTTTTTTTTTTTTTTGTAGAGACATATTTAATCTGAAAGGCAAAACTTTTGAAAGGGATAAAATTTTCTCAGATCTTTTTTGACATTATTAAGCTTATCTTATTCCCTTTCTCAAATCTTTTTTGACATCAACTTTATGGATAATAACATTCAAAATATTCATTTTGGTCGTTATTTAAAAAAAGCATAGTTGTTTTTTAATAATATATGAGACGTAAGTTTTTATAAACAATGGGTATATTTTCCGTATTTTTGCATCGACTAATTAAATTATCTTTTGATCATGGGAAAGAGGAAGCTTTTGGCTAATCTTTATGAAGGTGGAGGATAGGATTCCCTTTAGGCCTTTATAGTGTCGCTAAATTTCTTAAACTTTTTGGGTCTAAAAGTCAACTTCAAAAGCTGCATTCATTTTTATTTCTTTCTCTTTTTTAAATCCCGTTCTCCAAATTTAAATACGCTCTGTGAATTTGCGGAACATGTGTGGTTGAAGAAGGCAATCGACTCGATCTTTTTTAGTGTTGCTGTTGGGCCCAAACTTGGCCCAGCCTAAATTCTTGACTAAATCAGATCCAGGTTTAACAACAACTGTCCAACTCCATCCCTTTCTTTTGTTTGTTTGTTGGAGCGTCACTAGAAATGGAGTTTGGGGTATGTACCATAATGTGTATGATACTCAAAATTGGAGCTCGGTTAAAGAATAACTGAAATAAGTTTCCTAAAGCAAAAAGACAACTTTGGGGCTCAATTATAAACATACATGAAAAACAATAACAAACATTTCAAATGTGGGTTAGATCTCATGAAGCCAAGATCTCATCACTGCACGACAACACATTTTTCTAAGAAAATGAAGTAATTCATTGTAGTTGTAATAGATATTGCCGTCTACAACACCAATTGGCACGGCTAGGACAAGTCAATCAACAACATTGCTGAAACCCATGCATGGGCCATGACAGTGCAAAAATATATTTGTGGTGATGTTATTATAAGTTTTCCCGATCGTATCAAGAGAAAATGTATAAGAGATATGAATAGAGACATATTGTGAAGGGTGTAGTGATCACGTTAAGACTTACCTGTCCACCAATCTGTCACTCTTTATTTTACACAACTTCTTTATTATTATTCCCTCTCTTTTTTATATATAATTCAATTCACACTTCTTCTCTCTCTATCTATATCTCTGGTCTCTCTCTCTCTCTCTTTCTCACACACACACACGATCCAATGACGACGAGCAACAACGTGAACGGATGTTTCGGAGACACGAAGCTGACCAAAGTGTTCGTAGGAGGATTGGCTTGGGATACTCACAAAGAAGCAATGTATGATCATTTCATCAAGTATGGTGACATCTTGGAGGCAGTCATCATCTCCGACAAACTCACTCGCCGTTCCAAAGGATACGGCTTTGTATGTTCTGTCCTATCTCGTTTATTTTCTTTCTTTTTATCTCACTTTTTGCTTTGTTCCTTTCTCATTTTGTTTTAAAATACGTTTTTGATAGGTGACTTTCAAAGATGCGGAAGCTGCCACGAGAGCTTGCGAAGACTCTACTCCGATCATCAATGGCCGCCGTGCCAACTGCAATCTCGCCTCCCTCGGTGGCCGCCTTCGTAAATCCCCTACCATGACCTCTCCTCAACAAGGTCCATCTTCAAAAAAAAAATTATAATAAAATGATATATATATACACACACATAATTGGCCATAATGTCATATATGAAATTTCTTATGTGGAGATATCTAATGCTAATGTTTTCACTTACAATTTGGAAGAAAAAAATTAAATTGCCAAAGATAGGAGACATTTTAAGGATTAAACCTTGATATGAATGAAATCGAGAGACCACTTTTGCCATTATTCAAACTTTTTATAAATCATTTTTCAAAACCAATATTAACATTATCATCAATGATGTTTTGACATGTGAAGGAACAAAAAATGGTAACAGGGCCACGCCACCACATGTTGGAAATCATTCTCAATGGTACTATCCGTCCGGTTTCACAAACCAGCAATATCAACTTCAACAACAACACCATCATGATCATCAAGCCGTTCCTTTCTATGGGTAAATTATTTTCTATGGTCTAATCTTTTTGAATATTTACGTAAATTAATAAAGTATTTGATTAGTCCCGTCTTGATATTAAATTAAGGTACCCTTCCTCCTACGTTGCCCCGAACATGACCTTCAATCAAGTAAGTCTCATGATTTCTACTTCAAACCAACAAAAAAAAAAACGATATGCTTCTATGGTTTTCCACTTATTATGAATTTGTTTGTGATTGTTTAATGAACAGAAAGTTGGATATGTCGGAGGAACCTATATGAACGGATACTATGCACAAATGCAACCACAACCGCAATCGCAGCCGCAACCGCAATATTACCAGCATCACATGTATGGTGGAGGGCGAGTTATGGTTGGGGCAGCAAGTCCAATGGTGCCTTTCTACACTGTCTATCCTTATCATCAATCTCAAGCCATCGGGTTTCCACCACCTTCCTTTTCGAAACCCCTTTCTTTTTCCACTCCTCCCATATCAGGTATTTGTCATTCTATTTCGAAACCTTATAATAACGAAAGCTACTTCACTAAAAACTAAAAAATATATCGAAAATTTGTATTTGGCTAAATAAGTACTATTGCAATAATCATTTGAGAAATATATATATCAGAATCAACATTTGTTTCACATACGTCAATATCATCATTGGATTATCTGTTTGTATTATGCAGTATATATTTTGGTTATAATATACCAAAAAAAAGAAGAAGTTAGATTTGATTTCATGTTTTTTCTTTATCCCACTTTTACTACGATTACAATTTACAAATCAGTAATATTATCATGGTTAAAGGAGTAAAATTAGAATAATGTAAAATGTGTCTTCTTCACATATAGTGTTCTTAACCATCTAGCTTCTGTCTATCCATCAATTTTTTTGTATACTCTATACATATGCACCAAATAAATTTGATGATGAGACATACGCACACATGCATACACAAGTTGGTCACGTTATTAAGTTGATGTCAGTCATGGCCTCATGTGCCCATGATGTGGTATCACATGGATCCACCCTCAACTAGCTAGGCCCTGCTTTGGCACGTGATCCCTCGCTGTAGCACGTGTCTCTGTAATAATTTAGTTGGATCTTGGTGCTTATAGGTTAATAAAAAACGAAAAGGCCTCTTACATGCAAGATGTTGTGATCTTCGTGTGTCGGAAAATCTATTAAACTGATATTTAAAGATTTGCTTTTTTGACTGTTGAATAGGCACAGTTGGAGGAGAGAGCATACAGAAGAAGGCCATACATTGATAGGCTACAAGCTGTTGATCAAATCATCAAATGACTCAGCCAAAACTTAATTCATTTTCTCCATCTCACTAAGCTTTATTTTTTTACCGGAGACATGTATTTTTAATAATTCAATTTCGTTACATTTAATCATTTATTCATTGAAGCTAAGCTGATAGAGTTAAAAAAAAAAAAAACTAAAATGGCTTTATTATGAAGTGTTCTACTTAAATACGAATGGAAGGTTTCATGACATCAATCTCTTGGGTTAGCCTAGCAATGACCACCCACATCCATCGATTTTCAACCGACTTTTTTTTAAAAAAAAAATTTCTAAGAGAAAAATAACAAATAATTACGAGACTATAGTATGGAGATATGGCAGTTTATTTCCATGATCAGGAGATTAATAAAAAATATACATGAGATAACAAAAAAACTCATGTACCTTTATAACAAAAAATTAAAACTCATGTAGGTTTTAAACCAAACGAATCTGTCATAGACAGTGGCAGTGTATTCGGCCCAACAACGCTCTGGTGACTCGTACAATCATCACATTAACATCTAAGAAAAGAAGAACAAAAGAAAATTCTACTAACAGACGGCAACAGACTCATTTTCTTTCACTATATCGATCAGTTTTCAAATGCTAACTTTCGAGTATAATTTATCATAGTATTCATTCTACTTTCAACATAGAATTTATGAATACTTCATAATATAATCATCAAATATATCTGTACATAGTTGTTTGATAAAAATTTCACATATATAGTTGATTATATTCACAAATAGCAAATAAATATCTATATAGTTGATTACATTAAAAATAGTTAACAATATATATTTACATAGTTGACTATATTCACATTTTTTTAATTTATTTAATTATTCAACTATATATAGACATACGTATAACTGCACATAACATATCTATAAAAGAATAGTTAAATTATATATCTACAATCTACATACATATATAGTTAATTATAATTATAGTAATTTTATGTATTATAACTAGTTTTTACTTTTTATAATGAAAAACGGTTCTTTTAGTATCTTTTAACTCAACGTGCACAAATACGGAAAATTTCAAAAGGTTCTTTTAGTACTCTTGAAAAGATTTGGTCTTAAAAGTGAAACTAACAAGATATTAGGGGTAAAAACAACATTTAAGAAAAAGTCAGGAATTTATCTCAAAAACAAAAAAATGGATCGTAGGTTTTCTCTCTCTTCGAGCATTGCCTTGTCTTCTTCACCACACTGGTCTCTGTAACTGAGAGACCCAAAGCCCTTCCCTTTATATCTTTTCTCCAATTTTCGCAAGATCTTATGAGGTAATTCCGATAATTTCAGCTTTCTCGTTGTTGATTTCACTTCTGGGTTCAGCGAAATCTGGAACTTTTCATGCTAATTGCGAATACCCTTTGCTCCGATTTCTGTTCCGAGTTTCGGATTGTATAAGACCCATCGATAGATTGAGTAGTTTTGAGCTTTTGACAGATAAATTTCAATGGAGGAACAGCGAGAGGAAAGTGAGTTTCTTGGTGATTTTAGAGAGCCCATGGAGGAAGCTGGTAAGGGACTAGGTTTATCTTCTAAAACTGAAACCCTAGTTGGTGAGGATGCCGCCACGTCAGAGGTTTTGGATTCAGGTGTTTTCGATGTTTGTGGGATTGATGAAATCCCAAATGATGGAGATTTAGCTACTGGTGATGGGAGCTTAAAAGCTGGTAATTCGGTTTCTGATGAGAAACAAGTGAAAGCTGATGTTGATGATGATGTTAAAAGGACGGATGCTATCACAGAGCCTGAAACTGAGATGGAGCGTGAAGGAGATACTGGAACTGTCGAGGTGAAGTTGAATGATGAAACGGTTAAGTCTGAAGTTAAGAGTCAAAATGGTGCTAGTCATGATGAAACTGCAGGGGAAGAGGAGACTGTAATTTCTGCTGCGAATGGTGCTACTGATGAGAAGGCAACATGTGAAGTTGAAGATAACGGTGGTGTTTGTGCTGCAGAACAAGATGTTGAAACTGAAAAGTCCCAGCAAAAGTCAGTCGATGGTGAGACGCTTTCTGTTTCAGAAGATAAAGCTGACCAAGAGAAGGAGACAACACAGAGAAGCGAGAAGGATAATAACAAAATGGTTGTTGATAGCAAACAGGAAAATGAAGAGAATGTTGCTCTTCATGAACAGGGGAATCATGAACATGCTAAGCATTCAGGATCTGCACAGGTTCCAGAGGAGTCTACCCAACTGAGCAAAGAGGAAACAGATGAAAAAAGTCAGAAAGTGGAAAACGGAGAAGCCATGGAGATTGATTTTGCGGCAGAGGAACAGATGATAAAGGATGGTAAAGTAGGCGGCGCTTTGGATAATGACTGCAATGAATCTGCTGGTGCAAGTATGGTAAAAACCCAAGATGTTCCAGTAGCTGAAGCTGACAACAATGTTTCCAATGTAGTTGAGAAAATGGAAATTGATGAACGCAAAGATAATGCTCATATGGCAAGTGATCTTACCGGAACAATTGAATCTGCTGATTCAGCAATCCAAAATAGTCCCACTGAAGATGCTGCTCCAGGTGAAGTTGAACCGTTGGATCATAATGCTCTTTTCGATCCAACTTCTGATATTACCAACTTTATTGATTTCAGTGGTGTATCATCTTGGTCAGGAAATATACAAGACCTTAAAACCGAAACCGGGAATGTATCTTTGAAAGATGATAAGAAAGCTACTGACCTGGCAGAGGATGTTGCCACAGCAGATGCTAATCTAAGCTTAAGTCCCGAAGGTATCGAAACTGAATCGAATGAAGCCCGTGTTGGTGTTGGGGCAGAATCTCCAGCTGCTGCAACAGATTGTTCAAAAGAGACTTCTGATGCAACTTTGGGATCTGAAGAAAACCAACAAGGTAAGGATCATCAATCCCTAGATAAGAAAACAGCAGATCAACAAGATACAATGATAGAGGAAGATGACATTACTCATGAAGCTCCAAGTATCAACCCAAACCAAAAGGAAGATGCAGAAATGGAAGAAAATCCCAACAATTCTGATTATGCTAATGATATAACCGGTTTTGACATTAAAACGAATGGTGTGAAACGAAAGGCTGATGTCCTGAGTGAGGATTCACCAGGGGAAGGTAGGAAGACTGTTTCATTCGCAAAGGTGTCTTTCGCCGAAAGGCCTTCCTTTAAGATCGGTGCATGCATAGCCAGAGCTGCTAGTCAGATGGCAGGATCTTCTTCAGTTTTGAAGGGTAGTAACTTTGATGATGAAACTCTTTCTGTTGAGAGTTTTGTATCCCAGCTTCATTGCGCAGCAACAGACCCCGTTAAAGAGAACGTTGTATCTGACATTGCTGCTGGCTTTTTCTTGGATTTCCGAAACTCATCGGCTTCACAGCAAGTTACCACGGAAAAGGTAAGCAAGAAAAGAGGTCGACCATCCAATTCTAATGTAGCAGGAACTGAATCATTTGAGTTCGAGGAAACGGGAGACACATACTGGACTGACAGGGTGATCCATAATGGTGGTGAAGAGCAAACGCCATCTTTTGAGAAAGCAAATTATCAAGTTGTGCCAGTTGAGTTGAAACCTGCTCAGATTCAAAGGACTCGTCGACCATACAGAAGACGACAGGCTCAGATCAATATTCATCTTTCAGCCTCAGACAAACCAGCAAACTTTGATGAGAATGCACCAGCTGAGCTTGTAATGAACTTTTCTGAAGCGGATACAATACCTCCTGAGAAGAGCCTGAGTAAAATGTTTAGGCATTTTGGACCAATAAAGGAGTCACAGACTGAAGTTGACAAGGAGAATAACCGGGCTAGAGTAGTTTATAAGAAGGGTGCTGATGCTGAGGTTGCTTACAACAGTGCAGGAAGGTTCAGTATTTTTGGGGCAAAAGCGGTAAATTACGAGCTCAGCTATACGATAACTGAAACATTCAAAGTTCAGCCTTATGTTGTGTCTTTAGGCGAGGAGGATGCAGCACTATGTCTTCCAGCCTAGAAACAGTTTTGCTTCAGACATGTTTCAGGTAAACCTGCTTCTCATGTGTTGTTTCTCTGAGTGCACAGTTTTTTTTTTTATTATGGTAGTGATAACAAAGGTGTGGAATTCTTAACGTAGGTAGAGTGAGAAGAGATATATGCATAGTTACCTGGTAGATTCAAGCTAGGAAGTGAAAAGGCCATGTCTTTGCTTGTTGTGTTTTTCCTTAAAAGGGAATTATATGGATTCTTTCTAACATCCAAACAGAATGGTTGATCTTGTGTTTCAGGTGAAAACAATCTGCAGGCATCAAGAGAAGTAAACAATGAAGTGGCTCAATGGATTGGAGGCTCTTGCTTGTCTTTTTGTTATGTAATAGGTAGAGATTTAGGCTGTGTAATTGTAACATGAGAAAACATGTAATTCCCCGAGTTCTCAGAGTATCATCTGTTATTTATTGTAAGAGACTAAGAGGTTAGAAAGATAGTTACCTTTTCTTTTCTGGTGACAAAAACATGTTATTTGCTGTTACTAAACCAAGTGATGTTAGGACATTGCTGCTAATGGTTATTAGGTGAAATGATTTGGAGTAGTCAATTACTTAAATGATCATTGGATTTTGATTTTCAAGCTTTCACCGACGACACTTGATCCTCTACACTCCACATAGGTACTCGAAACATACCTTTGGTTCCAAACCAGACAAAGTCACAAAGGCATAGATGAGTTGATTGGTTTCACCTAAAGAAGTCTGTCACATAGTCACATAATAGTCTCATCTGTTACTTTTACTTTTTATCTCTCTCACGCATATCAATCGGCATTGGTATAAGCTCCCCTGGATACAGAAAATACAGGGGAATAACACTAATAAAATAGTGCAAACATTTTAAGTTGAACAACATTTCCGCAACCAAACAATAAAAATCTAGCAACGGCACAAACACAAACCACGAAGCTACATGTCATGGTTTATATTAATAAACTGATCTTCAACTGTGCATCATGTTTGAATTTTTGGCATGAAAGTAGACATGAACTAGAGATATTTGGAGAAACAAAAGTATCTGAGAAAAAAGAAAAACAAAATGTCCATATACATGACCCGTATATGACAGGATTATGGATAACGAAATCCATAATCTATAGTCAATAATCACCATGTTTAATCATCCGGATTTCGGATACTTGCAATAGAAAGATTCGACTAGGTCGAATATCTGCGTATATCTGTATCCGTATTCGAGATAAATTATGAAAAAAATTCAGCGCTTTACCTTGAGTAAACAAAAAAGAAAGAGCAACGTGGATAAATCAAGACGGTCGATTAAATGGATCATAAAGATGCATATCATAAAACCAACCTCCCCGAAAATCGTGAGCAGCCAAAAGAGTTATTCGGTGGCTTCTCCTCTCCGAATCTAATTATTTTCCGAAGAACATAAAAGAGGATGACTGATGATATCAACACGCTCGACTAACGAATTCGGCGTAGCGTTTATTGAGATATATTCTCGATAAAGTTTGTTATTTTCCTTTTATAGTTTAGGTAATTCCTCTATTTCCTATTTCTATTAGGTTAGCAATTCTAGGGCTGTATAAATAAATACTTTTACCTACGGGTTTATGAAATATTCAGAATCATAAACATTCTCTGCGTTCAGTTTTCTTCTTCTCTCTTGGTAACCCACACTCGTCTGAGTCGTCTCTGTTACTCACCTTTGTTTTTGTTTCTCCAATTCTTGCAAGATCTCTTGAGGTAATTTCGCCAATTTCAGCTTTCTCGTTGTTAATTTCACTTCCGTTTTCAGTGAAATCTGGAATCTTTCATGGTTTTTGTGACTCTGATTTCTGTTTCTTGTTTCAAGTTTTCGCCTTTTTTTAATTATCACGGACATGTTGAGTAATTTTGAGCTGCTTTCAGATAATTCACATGGAGGAACCGAGAGAGGAATCTGAGTCTGTTCGTGAGCCCATGGAGGAAGCTGGTAAGGGACTAGGTTTATCTTTTAAAACTGAAACCCTAGTTGGTGAGGTTTCGGATTTAGGCGTTTCTGTTGAGAACCCACATGGTGGAGGTTTAGCTGCTGGTGATGGGAGCTTAAAAGCGGGTAATTCGGTTTCTGATGAGAAACAAGGGAAAGCTGATGTTGTTGATGGTGTTAAAAGGACTGATGCTATCACAGATATGGAGTGTGAAGGAGATACTGGAACTGTTGAGGTGAAGTTGAATGATGAAACGGCTAAGTCTGCAGTTAAGAGTAACAATGGTGCTAGTCATGATGAAACTGCAAGAGAAGAGGAGACTGTAATTTCTGCTGCGAATGGTGCTACTGATGAGAAGGCAACATGTGAAGTTGAAGATAACGGAGGTGTTTGTGCTGCAGAACAAGATGTTGAAACTGAAAAGTCCCAGCAAAAGTCAGTCGATGGTGAGACGCTTTCTGTGTCAGAAGATAAAGCTGACCAAGAGAAGGAGGCAACACAGAGAAGCGAGAAGGATCATAGCAAACAAGAGAAGGAATCAGCAAACAAAAGGGAGGAGGATAATAACGAAATGGATGTTGATAGCAAACAGGAAAATGAAGAGAATGTTGCTCTTCATGAACACGGAGAAGCCATGGAAATTGATTGTGCAGCAGAGGAACAGGTGGAAAAGGATGTTAAAGTGGACCGCGCTTTGGATAATCATTGCAATGAATCTGCTGGCGCAAGTATGGTACAAACCCAAGATGTTCCAATAGCTGAAGTTGACAACAATGATTCCAATGTAGTAAAGAAAATGGAAACTGATGAACGCAAAAATAATGCTCATATGGCAAGTGATCTTACCGGAACAATTGAATCTGCTGATTCAGCAATCCAAAATAGTCCCACTGAAGATGCTGCTCCAGGTGAAGTTGAACCGTTGGATCATAATGCTCTTTTTGATCCAACTTCTGATATTACCAACTTTATTGATTTCAGTGGTGTATCATCTTGGTCAGGAAATATACAAGACCTTAAAACCGAAACCGGGAATGTATCTTTAAAAGATGCTAAGAAAGCTACTGACATGGCAGAGGATGTTGCCACAGCAGATGCTAATCTAAGCTTAAGTCCCGCAGGTATCGAAACTGAATCGAATGAAGCCCGTGTTGGTGTTGGGGCAGAATCTCCAGCTGCTGCAACATATTGTTCAAAAGAGACTTCTGATGCAACTTTGGGATATGAAGAAAACCAACAAGATAAGGATCATCAATCCCTGGATAAGAAAACAGCAGATCAACAAGATACAATGATAGAGGAAGATGACATTACTCATGAAGCTCCAAGTATCGATCCAAACCAAAAGGAAGATACAGAAATGGAAGAAAATCCCAACAATTCTGATTATGCTGATGATGAAACCGGTTCTAACATTAAAACCAATGGTGTGAAACGAAAGGCTGATGTCCTGAGTGAGGATTCACCAGGAGAAGGTAGGAAGACTGTTTCATTCGCAAAGGTGTCTTTTGCCGAAAGGCCGTCCTTTAAGATCGGTGCATGCATAGCCAGGGCTGCTAGTCAGATGGCAGGATCTCCTTCAGTTTTGAAGGGTAGTAACTTTGGTGATGAAACTCTTTCCACTGAGAGTTTTGTATCCCAGCTCCATTGCGCAGCAACAGACCCTGTTAAAGAGAACGTTGTATCTGACATTGCTGCTGGCTTTTTCTTAGATTTCCGAAACTCATCAGCTTCGCAGCAAGTTACCACAGAAAAGGTTAGCAAGAAAAGAGGTAGACCATCCAATTCTGATGTAGCAGGAACTGAATCATTTGATTTCGAGGAAACGGGAGACACATACTGGACTGACAGGGTGATCCATAATGGTGGTGAAGAGCAAACTCCACCTACTGAAAAAGGAAATTATCAAGTCGTGCCGGTTGAGTTGAAACCTGCTGAGGTTCAAAGGACTCGCCGACCATACAGAAGACGACAGTCTCAGATCAGTATTCCTCATTCAGCCTCTAAGAAACCAGCAGACTTTGATGAGAATGCACCAGCGGAGATTATAATTAACTTTTCTGAAACGGATACAATACCTTCTGAGAAGAGTCTGAGTAAAATGTTCAGGTATTTTGGACCTATACAGGAGTCACAGACTGAAGTTGACAAGGAGAAAAACCGGGCTAGGGTAGTTTTTAGGAAGGGGGCTGATGCTGAGGTTGCTTACGATAGCGCAGGAAGGTTCAACATCTTTGGGGCGAAGGTGGTTGTGAAGTACGAGATCAGCCATACTATTACTGAAACATTCAAAGTTCAGCCTTATGTTGTGACTTTAGGTGAGGAGGATGCAGCGGTATGTCCTCCCTCTTAGATGGAGTTTTGGTTCAGGTAAATCTGCTTTGTTGCCTCCACTGTGTTTTAATATCTTTTGTACTTCTTCTGATATTTACTGGTGTGAAAGCTGATGTGTTGTTTCCTTTGGATGCATAGTTTTTAATAGCAAACATGTATACTTTTTCACATATGTGGACCAAGAGGAATTGGATACATAGTACCCTGGTAGATTCAAACATACATGACGACTAATTGATGAAGCCATGTCTTTGCTTGTTGTGTGTCAGGTGAAAACAAACGGCAGGCATCAAGAGAAGTAAACAATGAAGTGGCTCAATGGAGATTGGAGGCTCTTGCATGTGTTTTGTTACCTTTTAGATAGAGAGATCATTTAGGATGTGTAGTATGAAAACATGTATTTTTCTAGAGACAAGAGTTCTTGGTTATGTGTAATTTGTCGAGGCTAGAGAGGTTAATCTTCTACTTTCTTTCTTTTTCTGGTCGCAAAACATTTGATTTGTTGTTTTTAAACCAAGTGAAATTAGGAGAGTGTTTGTTGAAGTGATTTTGATCATTAAATTTGGTGCCTAATAAGCGTGAGATGATTCGACCAAGTTGGGTTAATTTCACACAGGGAATTCAATCCGGTTTAACCGATTGAAGCCGAAATTAGCCAAACACAAAAAAAAAACTAATTAAAACAAACCGAATGTTTATTGTTTCAGTTCGGTTTTCACATTTCTAAACCGGAAAACTCAAACCAATCCATGGCTTACTAGTCAACGTTATGAAAGTAACGGCGTTAGATTGACTGTTACGAAAACATTAACAGGAGGGAATCCCAAATTATTTTGACCAAATTTTTTGAAAAGATTTCCGATTTCACGCTCTTTCGTCTTCCCTCCAATCTCACAGTCCACCATTTTTGTTCGTTTCCCCTAAAATTTACAAAATAGAGAATAATGAAAAAAACCTAGCCTGCTCCGCCGTGGAGGAGATTCACACCACGACGAGCTCGTAATCGGAGACATCGATCTCGCTATCGCTGGGTTTCTATGTTTACATCGCTAAGAGATTAACCATCGAGCGTAGTGAGTATGTTTCCATCTCTGATTTATGTTTGTAATTTTGGATTTTTCGCTTGTAAGGTCTTCGCCGGTGCTATTCACCAGTTTCTAGGGTTCATAGTGTAATTTTCTCTAGGGTTGTGTAGATAACTTTTTGATTTCTGAACCGAATTGATTTGTAATATTGAAAATGATCTTGCTGTGTAAATGGAATTTGAATGGGTTGATAAAATACCAAATTGTGCCTCAGATTTGGTATTGGGGGATCAAGCGAACAGTATCATTTGAAAATGGTGAAAGTAGTTGCTCCTAGTAGTTCTCTTCAGACCACTGGAGGGTCCAAAGCTGCGCCAAAAGCTAAGAGGAAGACGCCTTCTGAACTGAGAGTAAGTTTGTTTCTTTCTCTTCATCTTGCAATGTTTTTTCCGTTGAGTTATTGGAAGTTATCTCTGAAGATTGTTCATTCTAATACCCTTCTCACTGAACAGGGAGAACAATTGAAACGGACTGCTTTTGTGGACCAAGCTAAAGAAGCTTTTGATGCATTGCGTCCTTGCAAAAGGTATATAAATCATCATGTCGTCAAGTTTTTTCCAACTTATATTTTTCTTACTAGATTTATCTTGGCAGTAGTGCTGAGAAAGATAATGGGCTCAAGAAACAAGAGCTTTCGAAGAATCCAAAATACATAGAGATGCGTATGGATGAACTGTATCCTGTCAAAAAGGCTATGCCTTGGATGCTCTCTGGCAAAGAAAACTCTAAGGTTCATGACCTCTCTGATTCTAATTCTTGTTTCCTTTGATTTTGTAAATAAATTATAGTTTAGTACGCATCTATTTTATTAGTTTATCTGTCTTTACCACAGGAAAATGGTGCGAAGCAATCCAGCAGCCTAATCAATGTTTCTTTACTCTCGAATGTTGCTGCCAACAAAAGACAACTTATTCGGTAAAACCCCTCAGGCAATTTCTATCTGGAGTAAGCTGACTTTATGTGCTGTTACTTATGTTAATGCTTTAATGTCTTAGCAGTGAGGAGAATAATGCTTCTACTGAAGTTTATGATGATATTAAGGCTGAAGCTCGTCAAACAAATGAAAGATGTAGCCAGAGCATATTTCGCAGTGTCACAGAACTTTCAACCAGGGGTGAAGAATTATCCTGCTTGCCAGATATTGATATGGTATGCTTTTCACCAGATAGTCTTTGCTACCCTCAGATGGTTATTTATCTGGTCCTTTTGAAACTTATGTCATCTTTCAACAGAACAAAGCATTGAAAGGACTTGCCACTTGTGAACCATTGCTGGTTCATCCTGCCGACATAAGTGTGAAAGATGATACTTCTGCTTCATTAAGTGGAAATTTCATGTCTGAGTTCCAAGTTCCTGGGCAAAAGATCCCTCTGGACCTTTCCTTGAAGACTTATGCTCGACTTGTCTCCTCTTCTCCATTAAGTTGGTGAGTTGAACTGTTTCTGATATTCCTGTACATTGTGTGATAGAATCATATGATGGCTGTAGTTGAATCTGAGTGATTCCTCCTTGACATCTCCTATTAGTTAACACATACCACTTATTGATGATGATAGATGAAATATGTTTTGTAATCACACAGAAGTATTCCCTTTATCTTCTCTTCTTTGCCTTATTAAATCTTGTTGACTAGTGGTTTCCTTAGCATCCAAAGTTTGATTCAGTCTATTTTTTTCCATTCTAATGTTCTAGGTTACATAGGTCAATCATGGGTAGTACCTACAATGGTATGCCACAGCTGAAGTCGCTGTCGTGTAATGTGGTAAATCAAGATAACAGTAGTGGTTCTGGATCAGCTGTGGTTTCCCAAGTGTTAAATTCTATGTCGCTACACTCGTGGGTTTATCCTCAGTCTACCTTGCCACCTTTTGTCTTATCGGCATTGGTAGCATCTGGATCAGACAGAGGTTTGTTAATGAGAATTCATAAGTTTTACCTATTTATCAGTCATCTTCCTTCTGAATTTTATAAAGAGATCCTCATTTTGCTATTTTAGGTGAAGTTGATTTCCTACAAAATCGAAAATTGGCATGGGAGGATGCTTTTCGAAGTCTATATTTCATGTTTCGGAAGAATCTCTGCAAAATATTTTATGGTAATTTCATATTATCTTCGCCTGGTTTGGATGTGACTTTTCTTTGGGTTTAACACAGTTCGTTAATAAAGACAACTTCAATGGCAATGAAATTTGTAGTGCTTACTTACTATAATACAGATATATGTAGGTGGAAATTTTTTCCACAGACACATATCCTTCCGTGTTTTGTTTACCACTAACACTTTCATTTAGAAGGACTTGGTATAAACCTTGCTTTTACTTTTTTTTTGTCTTGGCAAAGATGCAACAAAGTCAAGTTAACCTTTAGTGCTATTCAAATGTGAACTTTCATGCACAGCTTCTTTGTCATGTTCCATCTCTCGTATTGTAAATGACATGTATGCTGTACTCTATAAATGAAACTAAATTTAATTGTGCATTATTTGGCTTGTAGTCTGTACTTCTCAGTTTGTGGCAATGTTCACTGGAAGCTGTGAGTCAGGAGGTGTCAAACGCTCATGCAATGGCTATATCACCCAGTCAACTAGAAGACTGAGAGCCATGCTTAACGATCTTGTAAGATATGTTCTCTCACTATTGTTAAGCATTTAACCTTATTTATTTACGTAGATTGTTTGTGTTTTGCATTCCTTGAGACATCAGGAGAGAACTATCGAATTATCCATTGTCTTTTCCTCTATGTTATGCAAACTTGTGCTAACATTATCAATACGTTCTCATCCGTACTTTACTAAGTTTGCTTTGATTATGTTTCACAGGACATCTGCTACTCTATGCCTCTTTGCAAAACTAAAATGGATCAGACCACTGTTGAAGATCTTGCTGAACTCTCAGAGATAGAGAATCACAACCTTGGCCAGGTTTGTGCGTGTTTACTTATCTATTCAGGAAACATATTTATGTCTACTCTTTCACTGTTATGACTTATTAACCATGTGAAGCACCTGCTTATACGAGAGACTATTGGTGTGTTTTTCCTGACTCCTTGTAATGTGTGCAGATTCGTCGTTCGCGTTCCGTCTCAAACATTGATAATACTCCAGAATCTTTCTTGGCTTTTGTCGGAAATGAGAGCGTACATGGATTGTATGATCTTCTCTTAAATTATAGGTGATTATAAACATCTTTTAGAAAAGAAATTACATATCGTGCACATGTAAATCTTCTTAATGAATTTTGATGATGATTATAACCATTGTTTCTCAATCATGTGTAGGTCGTCTTTTGAATTTCTTCCTACCGCAGACGTTCCTGTTTTATATTCACCAGTGCCATTTCAGAATGCTGCACTGTCTTCTCCTGAGGTATATTCCACATTTAATGCTTTGCTCTGTGGTTCTCTTGCTGTGACATCCTTATTCTATATGATAACACTTTGAGGTTATTTTTTCTTTGATCTCCAGATCAAATGCACTGAGATGGTAAGAACAGAACATAAAAGTTGCTGCATGGTTGAGATAAAAGGTGAATATCTTCCGCCGTGGATTATTAGCAATATATGTGCAAATGTGGGTGCTAATGGACAAAACTTTGAAGCCAGGTTCGTTGATGCAAAATCTCTTCTCTTCTCTTCCAAACCAAAAACTTTCAGTCTTTGTTAGGAAATGCTAACATTTGATGAGTTTGATTCAGCTTTGTGACCGAGCCAACCTCGGTTAATTTAAACATTGGTCTACCACAAGTCCCTGAGAAGACAGACCCGGAGTCTCGAGTCATAGAAGGCACAGGAGAAACAAACGACAATGCATCTGACATTCCCGGAGCAGTGATCTGCCCTCAGCTTCAATCAGGCCATCTAAAGAGCTTGAAGTATTGCAACAAGTCTTACACGGTTTCGCTGTCTCCCTCGTGATTTGTCTCTGTTTTTCTTTCCAGGTTTTCATCATTATGTATGAAATGAATGTACCCAAAATCAAGTTATAGACCCAATGGTAATGTGAAGGGTAATATGGCAATGCACAAAAACGTTGGTATGAATCGTCTATCTTTAAACGCATCCATATTGTGAATGTTTTTTTCATACCCTGTTATGATCTTGGCCGGAGGATATGCAAGAGCCAAAAAAAAGAAAAGGAAATTTTTTATCATATTCAACCAGATTCTGAACCATCCATACATAATTGATTGAAGTGCAGAGCAATGTACATTTGTGTTGCACTAACTACGCCAAAGAAACTTCATAAAAAAATGGAAATCTAGACATGTGAACTCGTTAAACATCTCCATCTCCTAGTTCCAGATCCCTCGCCTAGAATCATAAGCATCCCCATATTATTTGCTGACAATTCATAAACATACCTGCAATGCAATTTATAATTGATTTCATCAGAAAACAGTAGTAATACCAGCCAGAATGTGAGTGAAACCCAAAGCAAATCTTTTTGACTCGTAATTCGTAAATCTCCTTACTTGTTTTGCCTGGCTTTCCTTTTCCACGAAACGAAAGACACAATCCACTGAAACACGAGAATGAAGGGAAAGCAAAATTCAGGCTCACACAGAGTTTCAGTATGCAACATGTAAGAGTTAGATAGGAGAGATTGTTTTGATTTATTTACCTTGAAGACCGTTACTACAGAGAATCCTTTAAAAGATGACATTTTGCCAACTGGGTGTCGCCTGCCTGTTGTGCCAGTTTCCTTTGTTAAATGCTGTGCGATTTCTTTGAGCAACACCAACTGAGCTTTGTCTGTCCGCATCGACACAATGATCTGTCTCAATGATTCCCTGTCTGCTTCAAGTGCTTGAAGCCTTGTGTAAAGCTTCTCTATATCTGGCTCGTTAACTCCTTGCTGAGTCGTGAACGGTTCTTGGTATCTCGGAGAGTTCCAGAGATCACCATTTAACTTTCCCTTACTCATCTTATTAGGCTCGTCGTCAATCTTAACTTCAGAAACTCCCACATGGATTGAGTCGATAGTATAAACTCTGTCGCTACTACTAGACATAGGAGAGTCTGCGAAAGATGTCCCCTTTATATCTTTTGCAGTTCCTAAAGGCGAATTGGGATCATAATATGGCCATCTTGGAGACTGACCAACTATCACCTTTTCTTCAATATCAACATTACCATCTGGTTCACACGGGTTCTCATCCACACTACATTGCAAAGAAGTATACTCGCACGGGTAAACATCAAAACCAACCGTGCTCGAGTCTCTGCCAAAACCAAGTATCTGATCATGTATCTCAGCTTCAGAGACTCCATAGCTCAACAATCTATGCTTGTATGCTTCGACCTCATAAGTCAAGGCCTCAATAGCTTGTTCTTTCTCATACAACAAATTCTCCAAAACCGAGAGCTTTTCTTGGTCATGCGTCATTTTCTCCTCAGCAAACACTTTGAATTGCCGAGCTTCCATCTGAATCTCAGCCTTTTCTCTCTGCAACCTCAGTATCATCGACATAGTCTCATTCGCTGCAGATGCAGCAGCATTTCTCTCCTCTTCAAGCTCTAAATGGAGATCTTTAACTGTTTTCCTTTGGCTAGAAAGAGCCTCAAGTAAAGCTGCACATTCATTCTCAACTAGTATCTTAGCGTTTGAAGATGAATCAGAAGAACCTCGTAACAACATCATGTTCCCTTCTTTGAATTCGTTGAACTTTCTTTTCACCGTCCTAGCCCAAGGATCTGAAGAACATGCCCCAAGAGAATAATCACAACCAAATTCACAGCAATTCACAACATCTCTTGAAGGAAATCTCAATTCTGAATCCATAATAGGTTATACCCAAAAAAACAATCTCAAATGCTGAGACAGAGACAGATTAAGCACGTTCCCAAAAACCCTAGCTTTAGAATCTAATAAAAGCAGTAACCTTTGTTGCATTCTCCAATTGAATTAACCACAACAATGAAGCCCCGTAACGAGGCCGTTAAAACAAAAGCAAGAAAGTTTTGGCATAGCCAAACAGAGAAGACAAGTTTATGATTCTCAAGACCCAAAAAAGGTATATTTTGAAGAAAAAATATAATCTTTAAACCTCGAGACAAGACTTAAAAGATGTGGGCAGCTACCTAATTCACAAAGATCTCTCCTTCCCGGAAAAAGAAGAAAAAATAAAGAAAATTTCCTTCTGTTTCCCGGGAAAAAAACAGAGGAAAATGTAAGAAACGGCGGGATTTTCCGGAGGGAGAGAAGGAAGATGTTGATAATCCTACGAAAGAAGAAGAGAAAAGAGAGAGAATTTAGGAGGAGAAGATTGTCTTTGTGTCTGTCTTTGATTCTTCATCTTCCTCTTCCTCGTGTCTCTCTCCCTCCTTTATCGGAGCGTATTTCAAAGTTCTTGGGCTACGTGCCCACAGAGACCAGCTATTATCATATGGAATAAATTTCCCCTTTTTTGAGGAGAAAAAGCAAAAGCAAAATCAATAATCAATAAATCATATGGGATAGTTAGTTATAAATTTAGAATCCTACCTTAACAAGTTTTGATTTATGATTAGAATCAAAATGTTTTACCAACTCTACTGATTCACCCACCCGAACTACTAAAACTCTCAAAAACTAAGCAATATCATAAACAGAAATTTCAATCCACCTTTGATAATATGTTTTGAAGATTTTTTATGTTTTGGTCATCTTATCAAAATTCAACATAAATATATATATTCAGTATTTATTTTATAAAGGCACAGATATGGTTGCTAGAGAAAAAAAAAAAAACTTTACATAAATAAGGTAGGCATGACATTTGTCAATTGGGTAAGATATATTTTTCATTGGTTTATTGTATTTTGGCTCACATGGATTTGGTGTCACTCTTTTAAATTTTAAGTGTGACAGAAATTAAATAGAGTTGGTTATAACACGTGATTATTTTTCAAAGATCATAAATAGTTTTAGAAAAAGAAAAAAAAATGATAAAGAAAAAAATAAATACAAAAGGAAAGAAAAATGAAAATTAAGAGATGAGATTATGGTCATGTTAATTTAAGGTTTCTCAATCAAAAGACCTTAAAATAAAAGATTCTGTTTTACTATCTCTAAAATCTTAAATTCAGCCCAGAATTGAATTAGTCCTCTTTCAATTTTGTGGACTATATTCTCCCGCTCAATAGTAAAGTTGACTCTGGTGGTCAAAGTTAAAGTCCCTAAATGAATATTAAATTCTCCTCTGCATTTGTTATCTGCAGTAGTAGTTCACTAATCAAGCTCCTGTAATTGCTTAGTATAATGCAATTATGCAAATGGCTTCTTTTACTTTCGTTGGTCATTGAAACATAAGCATCTGCAACTAGAGGCCCATTCCATTTACTCTCTTTCCTTCAGTACATTGTTTAGCTTTGAACATTTGTTTTTCGTCTCTTGGGCTTTTAGAAATTGTTTGGCCCAATACATTAGCCCTCTCCTCTCCTCGCTAAATTGTTAGCCTCCAAGATTCCAACCCATAACTTTATTTCCACTAGTTATTATATTTGATTTTTTTTTTTTCCTTTGTACACTTGTAAGCAGAGAACTGCAAAATTAAAAACATCACTTTAAAAGATGCACTTCTAAGCAAGTGCTTCTTCAGAGCATACATCTCATGAAGAGTGCTCAATTATTTAAGAGGACAACACCAACTTTTACTAAGTATGTTTAATTGTTTCGAGACCTCTATAGTAAAGTCTACTCAATTGAATCGGATACTTTACAAAACTCTGTTTAGATATTTCAAATTTTTTACAAGAAGTTCACTCAATTGGGGTCTGGGGATGAGTAAAACATTATACTTTAGAAAATCTGCTAGTGTTGCAAGAGTTTGGAAGTATTATCAAAATAATATTTGCTAATAATTTTAATAGTTTTGATTGAGCAAAGAAACAAATTTAAGGTAGTCTTTTTTTTTGTTGCCTACCAGATTTTTTTGATAACTTTTGTCTACCAGATTTATAGAAGTCTATTGTCTAAACCCAACACTTCCAATGTCCCTAGAATATTTTGTCCGAATGATGACTCGGATTATATTTAAGAAGGTCCACTACAAAGATACGATGAAGGACCCACTTAGATTTGTCCTCCCTATCTCTCACGATAGTGCTGTCAGATTTCTATAATTACCTCAATCATTCGATCAAATTCCCACATTTTTAGAAGAAGTACATTGAAATTTTAAAGATCTTATTTTCTTAGTAAAATATCTAGAGCATAGTCGACGACTACCTAGATGTTAAATAATCTTATGGATGGGTTATACTTAGATAGTCCTGCGAAAGTTTATCTTTGTCCATAAAACATAGAAGGAACCAAAACTGACGAACCAAATTTTTATTTGGGTCATTTCAACAAGTTATTAGTCTATAAATTAGATTAGGCGACAAAAAAAAAAATCTATACTGAATAAAAAAATACTAGTTAGAGATAATTCCATTTTCTTATAAAGTTTTTTTTTTTTTCTTTTCTAGTCAATTCGGCGTGGATTATAATGTATTATGTATGTATGCATAAAGACAATAGGTCCGACCAAATGAATCAAATGCATAAAGACAAAAGCTTTTCATGGTTATCATTTTTATTCCGTGCTCATCATTTGTTCAAATAGTTGCAAGTTTTTTTATTTTGTTTTCGAACTATAATTTTTAGTTAATGTAAATCCCATTTTATTTTTTCTTCAAAAAAAAGATATGTGGACATTATGCAAAACGAAACAAGTTTCATCAATGCATTGATGTTTGGAGGATGCTCCATGAAACAATGTTCCTTAACGCATTTACAATTACAGAGATTGATAAAATTATTGATCTCAAATTCTCAAGGTTCCAACACCGTTCTCAGTCTCCTCCTCTTGTCCTTCAATATTGCCCTCACTTTAAATAATTAATGATAAGGACAGTAGAAAATTTGAGGGAAAACATATGATAATCACAATGGAGAATATCACGAGAAATATGCTAATGTTTAATTGTTTGATAAATCAAAATGGAATATGTCAAATACGACCCGATACATCACGAGTAATATAAAAACGAGTTAACAGAAACTGAAAATGATACTTAAACGATGAAAAATAGTATTTTGGCCACCCACTACTACTAAATCAAACAATACTCTTTCTTTTCTTTTGGTTCTCTCTCAATAATATCGCAGCTTTTCATCATTCGACTGGTCGCCACCAGTCCACACTCTAATGATAATGTCTAGCATCTAAGCTCAAGTAATTTAGTGGGAAAAAAGGGTTTAAAATTCTAGTTTCCTAGATTTATCAATTATCACTCTGTTAAAATTCTAAATTCTCGTAATTACATAAAAATCAGTCTCCTTTTTTTTTTCTCGGAGGTTGATGAAAATGATTAAAAGAAGATTAATAACAGAGTTTTGACCAAGACAAAGATACTCATAAAGACGAAGAAGACAAAACATAAAAGAGACAGAAGATGGATGATTCATAATAAATACTTTGGCTCAGCCACTATACTTACTAAAACAATTTACTCTCTCTCTCTCTGCAATGTCACAGCCTCTCACCACCAGACCCACCGTCGCCGGAATCTCTATATTCCCTTTCCGACAACCGCCGCCGCTCTGTACTTTCCTCTTCGTCATCGTCCTTTTCGTCGCCACTTTCTACACTCTCCATCACCCAGACGCCGTTACTCCTTCTCTTCTATTTTCTCGAAATTCCCATAATGCCCTCCGTCTCCACCGCCTCTTCCTCTCCTCTGCTTCCAACGCCACCATCTCTTCTTACCTCCGAGAATTGACCCGTCATCCTCACCTTGCCGGAACTAAACCCTCTTTAGAAACTCTCAACTACGTCCAAAACCATTTCAAAAGCCTCGGACTTGAGACCCATGTCGCCGAATACGAAGCTCTCTTATCTTATCCTACGCACATCTCCGTCACGGCGCGTTTTAGCAACACGACGACTCTTGAGTTTGACTTAAACGACGTTCCCGGAGATTCTTCTTCCTCATCATCTCCGGTCGTTAGGCCTTACCACGCTTACTCTCCATCTGGGTCGGCGCAAGGTAACGTGGTTTTCGTGAATCACGGCGAGGAGAGAGACTATCATGCGCTTGAGTCGATTGGTGTGAGCGTTAAAGGGTGTGTGGTTTTAGCGAGGAAAGGTGAAACCTTGGGAAGAGGAGCAATTGTGAAGATAGCAGAAACTAAAGGTGCGCTGGGAGTGCTAATATACGCCGAGAATGACGGTGGTGGATTTGGCGGGATTGAGAGAGGTACGGTTATGAGAGGAATCGGAGATCCGGTTAGTCCGGGTTGGCCCGGAGTTGTCGGAGGAGAAAAACTGAGCTTAGAAAATGAATTGGTCACTCGGAGATTCCCCAAGATTCCATCTTTGCCTTTGTCTCTTCGTAATGCTGAGATCATTTTGGCTTCTCTTGGCGGTGCTAGAGCTCCGTTGGAGTGGTGGAATTCGGGTCGGGTCGGATCGGGTCAACGGGTTGGCCCTGGACGGACGGTTATTAACATGACGTTTCAGGTTAACTGAAATTTCGCATTTCCGTTATGTTTTCTTGGTTTGACTTTTGTAATTTTCCGTTATATTTCCTAATTATGTGACTAATTTCCGTTATAACGTTTTTGAAAATTAGTTTTTTTTTGGGAATTTGATTGTAGTTGAAAAGTGGGAATTTTGAGATCAATTTGAAGTTATTGCTTCTTTTAAACTTTAGGGGGAATTGAAAATGAAGAAAATTCACAATGTTGTGGTTACAATAAGAGGAAGTGAAGAAGCGGATCGGTATGTGATTCTTGGGAACCATAGAGATGCATGGACATATGGAGCTGTTGATCCAAACAGTGGAACTTCTGCTTTACTTGACATTAGCCGACGATTCACTTTGTTGCTTAAATCTGGTTGGAGACCACGTAGGACCATTCTCCTTTGTAGTTGGGATGCAGAAGAATTTGGAATGGTTAGTAATTAGTAACTTCGAAAAGTTGAATCTATTTGATGGCTTTACTAAACCATTTAGTGTCTCTTTTTGTTGTATAGATTGGATCAACTGAATGGATTGAAGAAAATGTTCTTAACTTAGGTGCAAGTGCTGTGGCTTATCTTAATGTAGATTGTGCGGTCCAAGGCTCTGGTTTTTTTGCTGGTGCAACTCCTCAATTAGACGGTCTTCTTGTAGATGTCTTGAAGCTGGTACAGGATCCTGATGCTGTAGGCTTGACAGTGGAAGAGACATTTAAGTCTCAGAATAACATTGTGAGTATCCTTCTGAAGGGCATTGATGGGTTTTTTTTTCCTCAAATTTTATGTTTGTCTTTGTAAACTCTGTGTTCTTTAATGGACTGCAGATACAGAGGCTAAGCAGAGTAGATTCTGATTTTTCTGGTTTTCTTCATCATGCCGGGATACCGTCTATAGACATGTACTATGGAGCAGGTAAAAATCAGAACTTGGTTCCCCAAGTCTTGCAAAATATTCCAGAATGTGATGTTGTAATGCAAGTGATACCGATAATGTATGTTGTTTTATCCTTCTTTCAGATTATCCTGTCTATCACACCGCATTTGACTCCTATGATTGGATGATCCACAATGCAGATCCATTGTTTCATCGCCATGTTGCTAGTAAAGCTTTTACTTCTCTCTTTCGATCTACTTTTAGTTTTTTTGTTCTTTGTTCTGTTTTTCATGGATGCTATGAGGAGAATTAACTCTCTTCTTTGCATTCTATATTTCTCAGTGGCAGGAATTTGGGGACTTTTAGGAATCCTCTTGGCTGATGAGCCACTGATACCATTCGATTACATCTCTTATGCAGAACAATTGCAGGTACATTCTTTTACTTACTCCCTTTATACGTAAGATAGAAGGAAACTGAGTCTATGTTTTGTGTAATGATTCAGGCACATAGAGATACACTGAGCAAGCTCTTAGAAGGGAAAGTCTCTGTTAATCCCTTAAGCATGGCGATACAAGAGTTCTCTTTGGTTGCAAAAGAAGCCGCAGATGAAGCAAAGGTTTCTAATGGTTTTGCTAGTTAATGTATAACCTTAATCTTTTTCTTCTTTGTCTCACCAATACATTTTTTGGTGGTTGATTTGCAGAAATTAAAGGAGAAACCATATAGCAAAGACGATGTTGCAGCATCGGCGAAGAGAAGAGAGCTAAATGACAGGTTGATGCTTGTAGAAAGAGGGTTTTTGGATGCAGAAGGGATCAAAGGGAAGGAATGGTTCAAGCATCTTGTGAGTAAATATAAAACATTTAACTATTTTTTTCAATCAGATTTTCACCAGTTTTGCAAACCTCATGTGACCTTGGTTGTGTTTTATGCATAGGTGTATGGACCGGCGGCTGAACCAGAGAGCAAACTGGGATTTTTCCCGGGAATAGCAGATGCGATTGCGATAAACGCATCAGAGGGAGTAATTGAGCACGAGATATGGAGAGTCGCAAGAGCGATTCAGAGAGCAAGCAAAGCTCTTAAAGGAGGGTTCACATGAGAAAATCTCAAAGAGTTCTCTTTTGTGTATATATTGTGACTGTAGATTGTAGAAGAATAACGTCTTATGATCTAATTTCATAACCACCTTTACTTTTCATTTGGTCCATTACTTTTCCCTTCAAACGTTTGTTTATTCATCTTTCTTCGCAGAGCCAGAGGTAATGATTGGAGAGTGATTACTGCTTTTCATTGTTTTTTATCCTTTGCTTTAGTACTAATCTTTTCAACTTTAGTCGCAAAGAAGATCTAACGAATCTTGATCCTCTTTCTCAATCTGAGTCTCACACACACTCTTCTTTAGCAAGAGCCTCTTAAATTAATATCCACAGTCAACAATTACAGTTCTTCTGCATATAGTAGAATTGATAATCGTCAAATGATGTTTTGTCTCCTGATACTCATATCAAATATGTTTAAAAAGAATAATACAAGTTTATAGGTTGGACCAGCTTAGAAAGAAGCTATTTGTGAAGAATAATGATAATTGAATTCGTGAAGAGGATGAAAACACACAAAATAAATTCAGTTTTATGGTTTTTCAGTAGACAAGTGAAATGTCTTGTGAAGTTGCTTCTTCAAGTTTTGCACGTACTGTTTCGGCAGCAGACATTTTATTGATCCTGCAAAAAGCAACAGATATACAAATATTAGAGCCTCAAGAGGAAGCAAATAGATGTTTTCAATACAAAGAGTGTATTTTTCATTTGTGAAACTCAGGGCCAAATCAAGAAAATCATAATCATTTTTGGTGGAACATAGTACTCACCGAACAAGAAGATCCCCCGAAGATGCTTTTGTTTCAGAGATCCAATCCGGGACTAATCGCAACATCAAACTTAATTGTTCCTCCACTTCCCCTGGGAATGCAAACAAGAAAGAAACTGTGAGCCTGTGATGGAAGAAGAGACAGGAACATTATTATCAAACATTCAATATTAACTGTCCCTACTTCTATCGGTTATATTGATTTGGTTTGCAATAATCTTGTGAAGAAGCTCCTCCTTCGTGATGACTGTTCGATTTGTTGAGTGAAACAATGTATGAATCAAATTAACAAGCTGTTGCCAATTGTCCTTCTTAGGTTCAGTCTTTGGTCTCTCTTTCATCTGAAAGACTCACACACACAATGGTAAGTAAGGATGGCTGTTTCAACATGGTTTCCAACTTAAAATGAATCAATCCCTTTAAACAATTTAACCCCGGACACAATGTGAAAGCAAAATGGTTGCAAAGGAAAGCATCACTTACTGACTGAAGAAGGCTATCATCATCAGAAGCATTATCAGCTTCATAGCTGATTTTTTCATCACTAGATTCGTTACTGATGTCATCTTTCACAATTGTATCTTCCTCAAGAGTGTCAAAATTCAAACTGCGAGATGGACCCTTTACTGACTGAAGAAGGCCATCTTCTTCATAGTTGATTCCTTCATCATAAGATTCATTACCAATGTCATCTTTCACAACTGCATCTTCCTCAAAAGTATCAAAATTCAGACTGCGAGATGGACCCCTTGCCAGGCTATTTGTTGATCTAACAGAGTTATCATCACCACCTTCTGGAGTCAACTCAATACATCTTTTTGATAGCTGCAACGTCGGTGTAGCACTCATGAGACGGATTGGTGTGGATAAGTCTTTGGAGGGAGTAGATAAATCTTTGACTGGGGTTTCAACTATTCTTGATTCTATGTGTGACAAAGTAGAATCTGCCATTGCTTTGTTAGCATATTGTTCTTCTTGCTCTATCTCCTCCATATGAACATCAAACCCTCCAACTTCAAGTTTAGGTTCTTCTAAACCTACACTTACTACACCTGAATAACTATCCCTTTTGGGGGAATTGAACGGTTCGGGAAGCAGTTCTTTTGGAATTTCGTCCTACATACATAAAACAACAGATGGAGAATCAATCAGAAATAAATGCATTCCTCAAAAAGCTACAACTAAATAACAGATTAAGAAGCCTACTATGTACCTTAGGATGAGCTTTGTAAAAATCTACAAGCTTTGAGTGAAACACCTTCCTAAGTTCCATGTATTTAGTTCCACAAATTGTATCGTCAAGTACAATTGCATCGGTGTTTAACTTAATGTGAAGGCTAGGTTTCATACAACAAGTGTCTTCAACATACTTCAAAACTCTCTTTATTTCAATGGCTTCCGGATAAATATGCTTCATCTGAGCCAAATGATCATACGAGAAGATCCTGTAGACCCACATTGGCCAAACAAAATTAAGCAAATACAATCAAACAACACACACACACAAGATTGATCATATGCATCAAAAGTTCAATCCTTAAACTCTCAAGATTCACCAGAATCTGTTAAATTGATGTTCTTCAAACCAAAAAAAGAAGAAGCTATAATAACTTTACCGATTAGTAAGATACTCGATCTTGGGACATATATTAGCGTATGTCGTTGACGAACCCTTTAATTTAAGCAACCTAATTGCAGTATCCAACCCATTGAAAAACTCCTCCAAAATCTCGAACCTTTAATGCCAAAAAATAAATCAATAAAATTGAAAAAAGAGAGTGTCCAAATTTGAGAAAAATATGAACAAATCAATCAATTAAACTCACCTTTCAGGTAATTTTACAACAAATTCAGGTTTTGGGGACGAAGAAAAGATCTGCCTTTTAACGGTTTTGTTAGGAGTCTTAGTAGAAAATAGTGACTCCGACACCATAACTGGCTTCTCTGAATCGATTTTAGACGACGAGCTCATTGTAGAAAGAGAGATTAGGGAAGTGATGTGAATGAGAGAGCGTAACGGCTCTAATAAATTAGGGTTTAAAGGTTATTAAAGGGTCAACAGGTTGAAGAAGAAGAAGAAGAAGGCAATCTATAACTGTGGGCCCAGATTTGCCACGTCGTCATTCAAACCGATTCTAAAACGTTGGTTCCCGCTATTTTCCTTAACCATATAAAAGTATAATCAATGAAACAAAAATATTGTAACACTGATTTTTTAAATTTTGTTATTTTTCTTTTTACTTTTGTGATATATATACATGATATTGTTACACTATGAGCTCATCACTTTCTCTGGTTTCGCGTTAATTTGTTTTGATTTTTGTCTCTTTTTGTCAAATTTTTTTTTATTGTATTACTTTTTCTCTCCTCATTTTTCATTTTAAACTTTCATGATAATTACAATTTATTTTTCTTACAATTTTTTTCTTTATTTTATAGTATTAATTTTACTATATATAGAAATGCTTATGGGACATAGAATATACTGTATATTTTTTTGTTGGTGAAATACAATGTGTTACTATTATGTTTATGCAAATTAATGTATATAGGGAAACGAAGAAGACTAATAGAAAACGAATCGATTTCCAAATTTCTACTATTTATGGCCCAAAATAATATCTTGACTGTTTTACGTTTGTCTTCTCTTACAAATTCTGCACTAATTTCGGATTAATTACCAAAAAGAAAATATATAACAGCTCATCATCATGTGTCTGAATATTATTTTTTCCCCAAAGAATATACGAAAACTATTACTTAAAACAACTTTTTTTAACCGCGTGAGTCTTAAAAACTAGAACAGATAGTAAAACAATTTCCAAACAAAAAATTTTAACCGCAAAACAGAACCAATAGTGTCTCCTAAAAGAAGTAAAAAAAAGGTGGAGAAGTAGTCAAATAGAAGAAATAGAAACGATGTCGTTGTCAGAAGAATATACCACAAGAATATGTCAAAACAAAAACAGAAATATGATCACGTATAAGTAGCCGTTCCCGACGCTGCCTCTCTATTCATTTCACAACACATTTCTTCTTCCTTTCTCTCTTACAGTTTCTGAACAAACATCAAACAAACTAAATACTCTTCTCTTTTTCTTTCTTTAAGACAATCCCACATTTGGAGAGATTGTTTGCGATAAAGTAAGCAAAATAAAATACTACTCTTTCTGTAAGTTAATTTCTTCTTGGTTAATTATGTGTTTATGAATCTTTTTAACTTTTACGATTTGTTGTGTGAATGAGAAATGAGGTTATACAAGCGTTTGGTTATAGTTTTTGTGTGTGTAGCATGTGTTTGTGTTATGTCTATTAATTAAATAGAGTAGTTTCGTTAAGAAACATTTTCGATGATATATAGCTGATCAATGTTTGATAGGCGAAAATCTGTATTTGGAAGCTAAACATCAAATCGTCTTTTACAAAATTGTTCAGTAACTATATATGATTATACAGCTTTTTGTTTTTGTTGATGTTCTGAGATTGAAACTTAATTTGTTTATAACATTCTTTCTTGGATCAGATAATTTCGGCACCTTTCTTTCAAAAAAAAAAACAAAGTGGTCAGAAATATGTTGTGATTTAAAGGAAAATATTGACTGTCATTGAACTGGATATTATGGAATGATCAAATCTTTTGTCGGTGTGCGTCACCATCTTACTTCGTGTCCTTTTTCCAGTTCCACGCGTTACAAGTCAACCTTTACGTATACCTAAGCCAGAAAGACAATTAAAAATTAATGAATTTGACGAATTCTTGACCTTATTGATGCTATAGATTTTTTTTTTTTCCTACCAATAAAACATGTCTGAAATCAGGTTATATATATGAATTTGATACTGAATGTGTGTTTCTTAATATTAACGCAGAGGAAAAGAGAAAGAGAGCAATGGCAGGAGATCAGCTAAACGTGCTAAACGCACTCGACGTCGCCAAAACACAATGGTACCATTTCACTGCGATTATCATCGCCGGAATGGGATTCTTCACCGACGCTTACGACCTTTTTTGTATCTCCCTCGTCACTAAGCTTCTTGGCCGCATTTACTACCATGTAGACGGTGCGGAGAAGCCAGGAACGCTGCCTCCAAACGTCTCAGCCGCTGTTAATGGCGTCGCCTTCTGCGGTACACTCGCCGGCCAGCTCTTCTTTGGCTGGCTCGGTGACAAGCTTGGGAGGAAAAAAGTTTACGGTATGACCCTCATGGTCATGGTCCTTTGTTCCATCGCCTCGGGTCTATCCTTTGGGAGTGACCCAAAAACTGTGATGACTACGCTCTGTTTCTTCCGGTTCTGGCTTGGTTTTGGCATAGGAGGTGATTATCCGTTATCCGCCACGATTATGTCTGAATACGCCAATAAAAAGACCCGCGGTGCGTTTATAGCCGCAGTTTTTGCTATGCAAGGGTTTGGAATCTTGACCGGGGGTATTTTTGCCATCATCGTGGCTGCCGCTTTCGAGGCTAAGTTTCCGGCTCCTATCTATAAAGTTGATGCCTTGGCATCCACAGTTCCCCAAGCGGATTACGTGTGGCGGATCATTCTGATGGTGGGTGCTTTGCCTGCCGCAATGACGTATTACTCGAGGTCGAAGATGCCAGAGACCGCCCGGTACACGGCTCTTGTGGCCAAGGACGCGAAACTAGCGGCTTCAAACATGTCTAAGGTTTTGCAAGTGGAGATCGAAGCAGAGCAGCAGAGAAGTGAAGATAAGTCCAATTCCTTTGGCTTGTTTTCCAAGGAATTCATGAAACGTCATGGCCTTCATTTGCTCGGAACTACAAGCACATGGTTCCTACTCGACATCGCCTTCTACAGTCAGAACCTTTTCCAGAAAGATATTTTCAGCGCGATCGGATGGATTCCTCCGGCCCAGACCATGAATGCGATTCAAGAGGTTTTCAAGATTGCCCGTGCGCAAACCCTAATCGCCTTGTGCAGCACGGTACCCGGTTACTGGTTCACAGTGGCCTTCATCGACGTCATTGGTAGATTTGCGATACAGATGATGGGTTTCTTCTTCATGACCGTCTTTATGTTCGCTCTCGCCATCCCTTACGACCACTGGACTCACAAGGAGAACAGAATCGGATTCGTGGCTATGTACTCTCTGACATTCTTCTTCGCCAACTTTGGACCCAATGCAACAACTTTCGTCGTGCCCGCTGAGATTTTCCCGGCTAGGTTTAGATCAACCTGTCATGGAATTTCCGCGGCTTCTGGAAAATTAGGAGCAATGGTTGGTGCGTTTGGGTTCTTGTACTTAGCACAAAGTCCTGACAAGACCAAGACAGAGCATGGATATCCTCCAGGTATTGGAGTCAAGAACTCGCTCATTGTTTTGGGTGTGGTTAATCTCTTGGGGATGGTTTTTACACTGTTGGTTCCTGAATCTAAAGGCAAGTCTCTCGAGGAAATGTCCGGTGAGAACGAACAAAATGATGAAAGCAGCAGCAGCAACAACAACAACAGTAACAACGCAGTGTCAACTGCATAGAGAATTTAAAAGACATTGTTTTCTAATCTTGTATCTTTGTTTTCTATGTATCTCTTTTTCTTTCTTCAGATTTCTTCTCACTAGCAACTCAAGTTCTCTTTATGTTTTACTTATTATTGATCGTTAAATGCAATAGGATCTGATTCTTTTACATATAGAACCGCTTTTCTTCTGTTCACTGTGACAAATGACAATGGAGAAAATGGAAAGCTAATATGATGTAACTGTGTTTTTCTTTGTCACCACTGAACTAAAGAAGAATTGTTAGAATCAAACATGCTTTAGTAACAACATCAAGCAAAAACTGCATTCTTTCAGCTTCTTCAGCCAAATTTTGTTCAATCAAAAGCAAATAACTGCATTTTTATTTTCTAGAAATGGTCGCATCAAAATGGTTCTATGAGTGTGGTGACACTAAGAAAGATGTTGCAGGTAGCTTTCCAAGGAAAAAATGAAAGCAAGAGTAGAAGAAAATGAAGGTAAGACAAGACAAAGATACAAGACTTTCTTTTTTTGGGTAAGGATACAAGACTTTCTTTTACTCTATACATATCTTTAAGTAAACGATGAACAATACATGAAAACTAGACACGATACAATTCACTGGCTGTGAATATCAATCAAATTACACCAATATTCTGGATTTGGGTTTCTGTAAAAGAATCAACTACTCCCTCCGTATTTTAATAATTGTCGTTTTAGAATTTTTATTTTTTTGAATTAGATGTCGTTTTCAAATTTCAATGCAAAATTTCTTACTTTTTAATGTTTTATGATGTCATAAAACATTAAAAAGTAATAAATTTTGCATAGAAATTTGAAAACGACATCCAATTCAAAAAAATAAAATTTCTAAAACGACAATTATTAAAATACGGAGGGAGTATATAAAACTCGATATAGAGGCAACTTCGTGTTCAGAGACCAGCTGAAACTAGACCATGCAATGTTACAATTCCAATCAAGGTTTTGTCTTCATTGACCACTGGTAGAAACTGTACAGGTGATGGCGGTGACTCCATTTTCTTCATAGCTTCAACAGCCATTGTTTCTGGTCCAATTGTCCTCGGCTTCCTGTTTTTAACAAAAGTTTCAAGATAAAGATTTCAACATACACCAAACAATGTTTATAGGATCTAAAAAACAGAGTTTTTCTCACCTGTTGCACATTTCTCCAACACTGAGCTTGAAGATTGCTTCTCCACTAGCCTTGAGAGTCCGACGAAGATCTCCATCTGTGAATGTACCGATCAAGCGGTAATGTTCATCAACCACAAGCAAACAACCACATCCTTTGCTGGTTAGCTCCACTAATTGATCCATTATCAAGTCTCCTTCTTTGCACACGGGAAGCTCTTCTTGCTTTTTCATAACATCTTTCACCTACAAAATACAGTCAATAGATTCATCCCCATTGTTGTATTTATCAATCCTAATGGTTCTTAAGCTTATGTATAGCCAAATCAGAACATAAGGAAACTGAGATTCCAAAGGTGAGCAATTTCGAGAACAGACCTTGAAGATTAAGCTCTTGCCGATTCTACCGGCGGGATGATTAGCTGCATACTCTTCCTTGGAGAGATTTCTAGCCGCCATGAGAGCAACGGCAATGGTATCACCAAACACCATCTGAATCGCCGTAGAAGTCACCGGAGCGAGATTAAACGGACACAATTCTCTCAGAAGCGGCAAATGCACATTCATATCACAAACTCCAGCGAGTGGATTCCCAGAAACAGAGGTAAGAGACACCAGAAACGCTCCTTTAGCTCTAGCGCAAGGGACAAGACGGAGAAGCTCCTCGGTGGCGCCAGATTTGCTGAAGAAAACGAGAACATCGCGTGGAGAAAGAGCGCCAATGTCGCCGTGAAGCGCATCGAGAGGGGAGAGGAAAGAGGAACGGAAGCTGAGAGAAACAAGCGTCTGTGAAACCTTGTTAGCTACGAAAGCGGATTTACCGACGCCGGTGAAGAAAACGGTGCCGGTGGTGGAAAGGAGAATGCGTGAGAAATCTAGGGTTTGAGAGAGATCGAGATGTTTGAAGAAGTGATTGAGAAGATCTTGCTGAGATGTGAAGAGGTTGAGGAGATTATCGCGGGAGATCTCTTGGTGGCTGGATCCGCCATTTTTGAGGGAATTGTGATCGATTGATGAGAAATCGAGAGATGGCGGTGGAAGAGATCCCATTGTTGGATCTCTGAGAGCTTTGATTTGTGATTGCTTTGTGCTGAGGAGAGAGATCTCAAAAAAAGCAGAGTGTGTATTAATGGAGACGGAGGGGTAAATCGGTCATTTAAGGGTTCTTTTGTTTTCGTGGTGATTGAGGCGATCGGTGGTAATTAATTGCATCAAAGGTATAATTAGCGTGCTGCTTATTAACTGTTTTGCAATTTATTTGTATTAGCATGATAGGGGGATCTTACCATCATGACAGGTATTATCTAAGCTCAAAACGAATAACATTCACAAGAGTGGTGAAGCCAAACTACATATTTTCCATTTTGCTCAATTTGCTTTTTTTTTTTTTTCTTTTTCCTTTTTTGTGTGCTATTGTTCGTTAGATGTTCTTTCAATTGTAAATGGCTAAATAAACAAAAGTGGCAAAATTCTCCTGGCGAAATAACATCAAGAAACAAATTGTTTTTTCTTATAAACAAACCCCAAAAGAGATTATCTGGTATAGAATCTATAGATTAATATACCTAAACAACAAGTGCTAATAGAATTATACGTACATAAACAAAGTTTTGAAACAAAAGTGAGACAAGTAAGATAACAAGTGTTATTTGTGTCACCCTGATCCCAAAACAATAACATCTTGTACAAATCTACTGAATCTTAGGGGGTGGTCTTTGATCAAAAGAAGTGAGAAGTAACAAGTCACTGTTTTTAACGTTGAGAGGTAAGTAAGGTTCCATCTCCATCATCGAGTGAGTAAACTGGACATCAACCCAGCAAGCTCATCTGCACAGACATCATCAATTCTAGTTACAGCTTACCAACAAAAAAGACAGAACAGAGATTATTCCAAGACAAATATCTATGGCTTAAGCTAAGCACACGCTTGGACAAACACACAAACCCCAAAAAAAAAAGAGTAAAGGACAAACAAGAGTAGCTTCTCCACACAAAAACACCTTCATATTACTTTCTCATCTCAAAATCGAATCCACATGAAGATGACATTCTCGTTGGTCAAACGAATGAATCCTAATGTTCAGAGTGGTGGATTCGTCTCAAGAGGTCCCATGACTACTTCTTCAGCAAAAATCCAAACCAGGCCCATCAGAATAATCTCATTTCCAATTTAGTTATGAAAGGCAAAAAAAATATCAAAATCTCAAGATAATTCGGTTGCGGCAGAGCTAAGAAGCATAGACAATCTAGTATCCCTTCAACTACACAAAGGATTGAGATTATATGATTATTACGGGAGGGATGAACATACCATCCGGAGGTGCCGGGTCGGTTTCCGGTTGTTCTCGGATCCGTCCGGATCCTCTCATAGCCGCCCGATTTGGGGCGTCCGGTCTGTCCATACCCGAAATATCTCTGCCGTGGCTGTTCCTGGTTAGGCAATCTCTGATTCAGATTCGGATCTCTAACTCGAGAAGAGTCGAGTCCAGGTTTCTCGTCTTTCCGAACGAAACCTGGCCTAAGATGCGGCGGCACGAACCGATCAGGTTTCGGGGAGAATGAACTCGGAGCAGGAGCAGGAACCTCCGGGACCTTGTCGAATTCAGGAGTCCGAATTGGGAACGAAAGAGAGGAACCAGGTCCTGTATGACCTAAGGGACGAAGAGAGATCTGATTCGGATCTGGATCAGAGATGGCTTGATTTGAAATCCTCGGAGCTGGAGAGATCGGAGGCGTGGTCGTAGTGGCTGTGGTGGTGGTAGCAGTGGAGGGAGATCTCAGAGGTTTGGGGGAAGATTTGGTGAGGACGAGCATACGGCCATTGGAACGAGCGACGGAGGAATAAGAAGCGGAAGATGATGAAGAAGAAGAAGAAGGAGGGTCTTTGTGAAGGATGTGGTTGAAGTTGATAGAGGTGTATTTGTTGTTGGCTCTTGCCGCCATTCAATTTGCTTTCTTCTTCTTCTTTTCTCTGTAGCTAAAAGTTTCTAAGGTTAGTAGGAAGAAGAAGAACTAAAGAATGAATGAATTGATGAATCTCTGGTTTTCTCGTTTTCTGTTTTTTTTCTCTCTGCGTGCTCTCCCTCCGCTGGTTTCTTTATTTTAAAAAATAATTAAAATTACTTTAATGATTACGAAGAGGACAAGAGAAAAAGGAAGACGCAAGTGATGTCATTAACTAGTCATATGACACGTATCCATCGAATTATAATAGAAAATACTAGAATATTAGTAGAAGATTATGAAATTAAGGACAAATTCTCTAGCTCTGTTGGATCTTATCCGTTAATAAATAGGATTACGGAGTTTTATGACTAAGATTATATCCGAATCGTAAGTCTGAAAAGTCAAACCTTTTGAATTCGAGTTTTGTCTGGTTTAAAGCCCAACCGGATTCATTCATTCCTGTGTCGTTCTGATTTAAAGCTTGTTCGAAAGTCGATTGGGACGACAAAAATGGCTTTTGATGATTTGATTTCTAGTCTGACGAATTAAAGACACATTTAACATGTCTCCAAAAACTAATCATTTAACATTTCATTATCTATATAAGACGACAACCAGATTCAACTAAGATCAAGAGTTTCTTATATCACATAAACAAAGGTTTCCATAGGTTCTACATTGTCAGATCTTAGAAGGTACTGTGCCGCATCAAATCGCAAATAAAGCACCATACCATACAACCGTGAAATACCCTTTTAACATTGTGACACAGAATTTTAAAACCTAGAAATCAAACACCATTCAGTACTTGCTATATTTACAAAGTTAGGGTTTATTATACTTACCTAAACCCTAAACCCCACCAAGGGTTGTCGAACCAATCACGATTCTTGGTAGTTCCGAAGGTCAAATGACATTGTACTCGAGCAACTGCAGCAAATAATATATCACCAAGGAGTTCTCAGATATTATGCCAAAATTTTGCTACTACCCCATGAATAAATAGACGCATGTTAAAAAGATTGACGTGGAAATTCTCCTCACCTCCTCTCAGTGTCTCTGTAAACTCCAACCAGAGCTTCCGCCTTGTCATAGAAGCTGTCCTTGAGAGATATTACAATGCTTTGGAAGCCATTCCCATCCTCTGCATCCTGATTGTCACGTGCCGCTTGGCATGACTTGCTACGTATGAATTTAGCAACTTTTGCCACGTTTAAATTATCAAGCGCAGCATCCACTTCATCAAGTATGAAAAAGGGTGAAGGCCTATAGCTGAAAAATGGAAAGGTAAACAACACCACAAACTTCATCAAATCCTCAAAACAACTGACCATGGAAAACTTTCTTTGCAGAACAACTACTATATTTACACGAGCCTAGGCCAAATCTCAGATCATAAAGAAACAAAAAGCGACTTTGAAGATGGGTATTTTACTAGGAACAGAAAACCTAAAACGATGTCAGTCTGGTAAAAAAATGCTAAGATGGCAAACAAATCTGATGGTTCCAGACACAAATAACAAATTTTATGTGTCAAGATCACTGTCTGCTAGTCCAATTTCAAAGAATGAAACTAAACATTAGAAATAAATCAATATAAACTTACAAAATCACTTTTAACATTGAAACAAATGGGATATCCAGGTTGTTGAGGATACCTATGGATGGAGAAGAGCAACGCCAAGGCCGCAACTGTTTTTTCTCCTCCAGAGAGCTGTTCCATGTCACGAAATCGCTTTGTTGGGGGCATTGTAGTATACTTTATACCATGTAGAAACGGATCATCCTCATTTTCTAGGTTTAGATAAGCAGTCCCACCCAGTGGGTGCGTATTACTCTTGGTTAGTTGCTTATAGATCTTGTCAATGTTGCTAGCAATGTGGTTGAAAGCTTCCATAAATAGCTCATACCTGCACAACAATTTGAAATGAGCAGAAAAAACTATAATGGAATATATGAATTTAGTTGGGAAAAACTGAAAATGTTCTTTGTACATGTGCATGTGTGGGCACATTTGTGTGCATTGTATCCAAACAGTAACTTTGACAGGTAATTTCCACAGGACTAGAATCTTCAGACTTTTACTTGTTCGGTTTTTTGTTCCACCATATTACCATATAGTCGTTGACATTTGGTAATAATTTTCTTCAAAGCTCTAGATATCATTTTACAAGAGAAATTTCGAGTTACCTCTTCTGCTTAACAGTATTAAAGGCATCCGCTACTTGCTTCTCCTCTTTCCTGGCCGCTTCAAACTCCTGGCTAACTTGTTTTTCCTTCTCTTGTATAGCCTCATACTGGTCAAGAGCTCTCAAATTTGGAGCCGTTCTTTCAATCTCGGATGTTTTAGATTCTATTTTCTGCCTAAATTCCGCCTCCACTTTTTCACGAGCAGATGGTCTCCGTTCTTGGAGATAAGCTCTATCTAGCTCACTAAAGTCAAACTGTGGCCCATCTGAGTCATCTTCCTCCATAGCATCTGATAAAACAGGAAGGGTAATATGTTCGAGCTCACACTTCTCAGTTATTTCCTGTTTCTGCGAGATCAGCTGCTCAATTTGTGTTTCCTGATAACATATGGAAGATTTAGTGTATCTATACTCAGACATATCAGATCATTAGGAAAGGATTTGATGAATCTCATTGTACCTTCGAATGTATTTGACGATTGAGCTTGGTTATGCTTGTTGTCGCTTGAGAAGCCTGCTTTTTCCAATCCAGGATTTCCTTCTCATACTCCTCCGACTTTTGTTTGCACTCTGCAAGCAGGAGCATTAAATAGTCTCTAAGAAAGAAGATACCAGTTCAGATTTATGCTAGGCAAAGAACATTAGACAGGTAAGGTTAGAATCAAAGTATATGGTTCTGTAACCTATGCTTATACAAGCAAAAGCAAAGAAGAGAATAACAGCGCTACAGAATCAATCATACTGATTCTTCACATCAACCATCTGTAAGCCTCGAGCAGCTATCATAATATGATAGTTTCTTTCTGAATTAGATTAAGATGTAGCATAACCATACATTTACGCAAGATGTCGAGCAGATCATGTACATACCAAAATTTGTTCAAAGAGCAATCAACAAACATCAAGGATTATGTAATGCAAACAGACAGTTGGTTGAAAACGGCGTGTAAATATCCATAGATATATCCCCTAAAAAGAATAAGAAAATTCCATATTTAAATACATCAATTCAGTAACAGAGCTCCAACATCGATACAGACAATGTACTTTTACTGGATCATGTTAATGTCTGCTACGAATGTAATCCTCAAATTGACAACTCAAAATGGGACTGAGATTAAAGAAAAGCATAGAACTGAAAATGCCATCAGATGTATGTAGAAATAGGATTAATATACCTTCCATTTCCTTCTTCCAATTGTTGATTTCATTAGTAATTTTTACAGCTGTCTCCTTACGTTCAGACATTGTCTTCTGTATACCTTCCAAATCAGTTTCCAGAGAGCTGATAGAAGACTCTAGCTTTCGAATCCGTGACCCCACATCTCGGTTTTGCTCATATTCCAGCCTGAAATTCGAAAAAATGATTTTCATGAACCAACTAAATTACTTACTTTTACTCTGATCATACAACTCAAGCTCCATTCAATAGAAAGCAGTATGTCAACTCAGCCAACCAGTTAGTGTATAGCAGAGGTTTGTAACACCGTTTTTTGCAGGCTACAGGATACTGACCCTTACTTGGTAATACAAGATAATGTCGACCATAGCTGCCTAATAATTACAAAATTCACACAGCGCCGTAGTGCCTTCTTTTTAGTAGGAGCGTGAAAGTCAAAATGTAACAACAATATGATGCACAAGATAGTGTTTATTTTTACAAAAAACGAAAAATCAGGAATGACATGTTGACTTCAGAATCAGAGCTATATGTTAGCACAAAAACGGGAAAAAGAAATCAAAAGAGACTAACACTGTATCTGTGTAGTTTGACTAGAACTGATATGTAACCAGAAAAACAGAGCAGAAGAGACATACTGGTATTTTAACTTAGCAAGCTGATTACTCAGTTCCAGCCTTTCTTCAGCCTCCTTTTCAGCAGTCTTGAGCTGAGTTTCTTCATATACACGTATGTTTGGAACCCCAACAGACTGGCTAAAATCCTTATAGATACGGTCCACAATCTCATTCATTCTTTTCTCCAACTTATTCATTTCTGTCTTTCTCTTATCAACCTCAGTTTTTGCCTACAATAAATACCAATGACATTCAGTCATACTATTGTCATCAGGTATTAACTCTACCAAATATCAGAAAAGATAGACAATTGCCTTAGAGAGTTCAGGCTTTATGCGATCAATTTCTTCAATGATATTCCGCTTCTCTTGCTCAAGCTGTGGAAGTTTGTCTTTGATGCTTTTCTGTTAAACAAATTCACCAATTATTATATTCTGAATAGTGACAGCTCCTCCTAGCAGAAGGAAAGATAAAATGTGTGCTACTGTATGGCATTCTTATCCCAATCAGGGTTCTCTTGACAACAGCAAGTAAAATATATGAGACCACCATCTTGGAAAAGATAAATTAATTGTTACCTTCTCAATTTCAGCATACTGAATCTTTTTTTCAAGTCCACTTATTTTACCCGATATTTCAGACTCCTTCATTTGCATTTCTCGAATAGATCCAATATTTTCCAATTCTTGTTCATGTTCTTCTTTCTTTTTCTTCAAACCTGCACAAACAAATATCTGTTCTAAGAAAATACATCAGAAGTGAAGAGGCTTTAAACCAGCTGGTGTCAAACCAACCTTCAATTTTCTTATCATCCCATTTATTAGACTTTGCTTCCATTCCACCACTGGTACCACCAGTCATTGTTCCCGCCTTTGTGAGTAGTATACCATCAACAGTCACAACTAAAAATAATAGAAATCAGGATATGTAGAAAGTAAAGCCAACTTTAGTGCAAGCGTATGAGTAAATTACATCTAATTATCTAAAGAAGGAAACAGGAACATACCTTTATGTCTCTCTCCGGTCCAGCTAAGAACCTTGGCTTCTTCAAGTTCGTCGCAGACAAGAGTATTTCCAACAGCAAAGAGGACCGCCTTCTCCAATTCAGGATCGAACGTGGAGTAGTTAAGGACCAAAATATATATATTAGAAACCTGCTCACGTAAAACCTTTCTATACTTCTCAATACTTGGTTTAATATATTAAAATAATCTCAAGCTACCAACAGCTATGCACGCAATGATATGAATCCAAGAGATGAGAAATTTTCAATACAGGTAACCTTGAATATGCTTAAGTCAAAACAGTTCACTTATTTGCAAAGGATATTGGATAACATCGAACACCAGCTTTGCTGTGCCACCCAAATTTCTCAATCTTTCAAACACTGGCTTGACACGTACTGACTGAAGAGGAATAAATGTCATAGGAGGAAGCCTTTGCTCTTTCAAGTACTGCAAATTACAAAAAAAAAAAAAAAAAAGAAACTTATTTCATCACATACCTAGAGTAGTGGTACAAAATCCTCTTAAACATTTACTTCAAATTGCTTAAAAGCAAGGTAGAAAAAGCTTCAAAAAGTTAAGTTGAAGCCAAGTATCATAGAATAGGGGTTAATTTTTAATTATATGGAATGAAGTCTGCCTGGAGATGATTACAGCATATATGTTACATACCTAAATAATATGAATTGATCATTTAGAACGTGGTAGAGTTTAAAGCATCACTAAGAGGTTGTAGTGTTTAAAACATCATTAATTTGCTGGCATAGGTCAGAGAGCAGTAATATGGTAAAGAATATCTTACTCACCTGTTACTGAAAGTCTGAAACTATAATTGTCAGCAGAGAAGAGATAGAACTTACGAATTAAAAGTTCACAGATTGCACAGGATAAAACACCACAAGAATAAGATTAGTACCTTGATGCAATCCTTTCCCGTGTTTTCATCTTCTACAACTACTGCATCCATAAATCTTCCCATGGCAACAGTGACAGCAAGGTTATACTTCTTCCGATTTGGCCGACAAAGATCAGTCATCCGACCATGAACTCCTTGAAATAGACGCTTGAGAGACTCAACAGCCTGTGTTAGCCTACTATCTCTCTCATTTTCATACCTTTCAGCCGTTAAATCACTTAACTGGTCTTCTAATTCCGCGATTCTAGTCTTCAACTTCTCAGAGGCATTCCTGTTCATCATATAAGCAGGTTAGCAACTATCAAGAATAAATAAAAAGTTCTGCTTGGTGAGGTGCACCACGAGGGAATTTGAAGCTTTCTCTATGAGCCTACAAGCTTCACTTTGGTTTAGCCAGGAATTCCGTACAGTGGAAGATCCTGAATTTGAGTATCAGGGGATACAAAATGCATTCCGCCTGCTCAAGAAGGGGTTTATACTCTGGATAGGGAAGATGGAAAATAATGTGTTCTTGATAAATGAATTACCAATATCTCTCAAGCCATAGTTCAAAAGATGAAGCAACCGCAAGAAGAATCTCTAAGGAGGTTTTCAAAAAACTTGCAGCAATGTGTAGCATTTAAAGGATATCGCAAGTAAACCATCCATTGCTAGACAATCTAGTGAGTAGAGGACATATACTAACCTGGCATTTACGTGCTTCTCTTGCAGTGCACGTAACTCCTTTTTCAGACTAGTTGTTTCATTCTTATATTTCGAAGAAGATGTTTCAATCTCTTCTTGCCTGTCTTTAAATCGCTTAATTTGTTCATCAAGATCATTCTTCCTGTTTATTAGTTGCTGGTAATTTTCTTCCAGATTTCTCAATGCTTCGAGATCAGTACGCCGTTGCCTCTCTAGAACCTCGTGCTCATCTCTTAGCTTAATGGTTTTCATTCCAGCTTCTTCTTTTCTGAGACAAAACCACATTGATAAACATGAAGGAACATCAATTCGGAAACAAAGAGAGGCATAAAGATTCAAAAGGGTGAATGATAGAGCAGATTACAAAAGTCACAACAACAGCACAAAAGGAAGAAGATGCATATTACAAATTCACAACAACAGCACCAATAATAGAGCCTGTAAACAACCAGATATATGTCATTCTGTCAAACAAAACGCTTAACTATTTGTTTGCTTAGACTGTTCTTCAAAGCACGGAATAAGTACTCACACCAACAATTATTTCATTAAACTTAAAATAAAATAAATGAGAGGGTAAGGAACATGTAAACCCATGTAGTATTCATTACACCACAAAAACTCAAGCAAGAAGATTAAATAGGCAATATAGAGAAAGCAAGTTGGTGCATATCTATAACCTTAGGAGAGTTGGAAAACGGCAATGCTTCTGTCTACGAAGAGAAAAAATCCTTATTTTTTTCAAACTTACAGTCGAAAATAATCTTGCAGTTGACTGTCAAGCATTGGGAGTTTTCCGCTGCTATCTTGTCTCTTCTCATTATATAATTCCATTTTCTTATTTAGCTCCTTAATGCTATCCTGCATCTGTTCAATTTCTTTGGAATGCTTCCCTTTTTCCTTTTTCCTCTTATCCACGTCCTTTCTATTGCTCTCAATTTTTGCTTTTATGCGAGCTATCTCCTCCTTAAATCTCAGAAGCTCAGGTTGCTGCTCACAGGAAAAGTACAGATATAAGTTACTCAAGTGAGAAAGTTGGTAAACTTCCAGAGGATCACAACAAAATAAATTGTAAAAGATGTGTGGAAATGCTATATTTGAAAGGGAAAGTAGAATCTGTTAGCCACAGATTTCCAAGGTATACTCACAATTTTTCCAAGCTTCGAGCTTTTCTCAGCAATCTTCTTCTCACGTTGAGCAATTTCTTTCAGATACTTTGCTTGTTCTACCTTTCTCTTACCTGCCTCACGTTCAAACTTTTCCAGCTCTCTCATGACATCTTTACGATTGCTCTTTTCAGCATCAACATCCTCAGTCGCCTTCTCAATATCATTTTCAATGTTATATAATTGCCATAGGAAGCGTTCTCTCTTCAGAGCTTTCTGCATGGCGTGAAGACAGATTAACAAGAAGGCAGATAGGATAGTTCACAAACTAAACAAAAAAAGCACTTCTCCACTAGAGAACAACACCAAATCCACATAAATACCAGTTCTTCCTGCAGCCTTAGATGCTTCTCAGCTTCTTCCTTCTGTGCTTTCTTCAGCTTCTTCTCATTCCCTATAGTTTTCTTCTTCTGGTATATAAGAGCTGCTTTTTCTTCAGCGCTGGCCTTCTTTTCTTCTAGTTCTTCATACTCTTTCTTAAGCTCCTCGGACCCAGAAATCTCCTCGAGGAGTCCAGTAAGTTCTTTTGGATTCTTCGAAGCAATAGATTCAACATCACCCTACATTTTGCAATGTCAGAAGTCAAATATACCCAGATTTCAATCATCCAGAACAATTAAACACGAAATTGACATCAAACAAACAGAATCATTCATAGAAACAAAACAAAAATAGAATTAAATCGAAATGGGGGAAGAAGAACCAACCTGAAACACCAAGAAATTACGAGCCTTAACAAGTATCCCTAGAGATCGTAGCTTCCCATTGTACTCATCCAGATTCACAACCCTATTATCGATACGGTACTCACTCCCACCAGCGCTAGTAATAGTACGTGTGAAATGAAGCTCTACTCCATCGTCCATCTGATAAACGAGTCGAACAAACGCCCTCCGACCTCTCTGTTCCTTGTCACGATCATCAAAAGCGTAGATAAGATCCTTAAGCTGAGAACCACGAAGTTGACCGGTACGAACACCGAGCACGAAGCTAATAGCGTCCATTAGGTTAGATTTGCCAGCACCGTTGGGACCAATAATAGCAGTGAAATCCTTGAAAGGACCAACCAATTGATGACCCTTGTAAGATTTGAAATTCTCCATCTCAAGCTGCAAGATCTTCCCCGATGGGGTTTGTATCGCAGGCATGGTTGGAGAGATCTCGAGTTGGTTTCAGAGAAAGCAGTGGAGAGTGAAATTTAACCAAATTAGGGTTTGTAGAAGGTTGGGGATATTCTCGGAAAAGAAAATTGGCGGGAATTGAAAATGTTTTGAGAGGCGAAAGAAAATTTTCTCTCAAGGGATTTCAGAATTCATCTCTTCCCCTAAATCCGGAAGTCGAAGCCGAGAAGAATTCACAGACTAGTGTGTTTATTTTTATCAAAGGGGCCTAGCATATGGCGTCGTTTTCTAAATGGTCGGGCCTAGTAATACGGTGTAGTTTCAAATGGCTGGGCCGAATGATACGGCGTAGTTTCGTATGGCTCGACTCTTTTGTTCTCTCTTATTTTTTTAGTGATTGTTTTGTTTCTTGAAAGTTATTTCTTTTTTAATTATGATTGAACATGGAAGTATGGAACCATCTTTTTAAAGTACTGTGATAATTTTTTGAAGAAATTAAAATGTTTTATGAAATTTTGCAAGAAAAAGGTTCATGGATTAGTATTGTTAATGGTTTATAGAAATATTGTTTCGTATTGTGTATATATAATTCTTTACTTTTTATAGTTTTCGTAAATCTATATATTTTTAAGAAAAGGTGTGCTTGGAATACAGTACATTGAACTAATGGAATGTTACAACTGCTTAAGTCATTGCTAGCCATTGTTTACTTCTATGATTGTAGCTTAAATCAAAGGTAATCAAATATAGCGAAAAAGAAGAGAATTAGTAGAGACATCAAATCTCACTCGTGCATTAGATCGAAACATAAATTCACAATGTTGTTCTGATAATTTGAAGGCAAAATAATAATGCAGACAATTGTATATTCTTTTTGTGAGCCGGATTATTAATCCTCTTCTAGCTTAATCACTCAAGTCTACTTCCCATGGATCATAGGAATCAAGGGAAGTTGGGCCGGTTAATTCTGATTATTCCATTAAGTTTCTCCATAAACGATACATGGATTTTGAAAGTTTTGGTACCACCTGTATAAGTGATTACATAACAAATGGTAATACCAATCAAAACCTATAGCATCAAATTAGATTCGATGAAGTTGTATTCGTGTAATAAACCCGGTTCAAATTTAGTAGCGTAGGTGGAGTTATTGTCAGTTTGGTAGAGTCTTAATGACCACACAAAAAAACATGTTATAAATTGTAACAAAACAATAAAATATGTCATAAATCTAAATGCCACAAGTAGAATTATCGAAATAAGCTTACATATAAAGAAAAAAAAGAAAAGAAAAAAGAGAGAGGAAGAATCGTGGTGATGGCTTCGACTCCGAAGCTTACTAGTACAATTTCATCTTCTCCATCTCTTCAAATCCTCTGCAAAAAGCTCCCAATCGCAATTCATCTACCATCATCATCATCTTCTTACTCTAGCTTTCTCTCGCTTCCTAAAACCCTAACCTCTCTCTATTCTCTACGTCCCCGTATCGCCGTACTCTCAAACCACCGGTATTACCACTCTCGCCGGTTTTCTGTTCGTGCCAGTACTGATAATGGAGCTGACTCCGAGCGCCACTACGATTTTGATCTCTTCACTATCGGTGCCGGAAGCGGCGGCGTCCGCGCTTCTCGCATCTCAACTAGCTTCGGTGCATCCGCCGCCGTTTGCGAGCTTCCTTTTTCCACCATCTCTTCTGATACAGCTGGAGGCGTCGGAGGAACGTAAGATTTCTTCCGTCTTGTGGCTTATTTCGACAATTTGATTTAGTAATAGCTGTACCAAAATTTGAAGCTTTTGCTTGATGATTTATGGTTTGATTGTGTTGTAGAGAGATGTCATTCTAAGCTGTGTTAGATCTAAGATTTCAAAACTCGAATGAGTGAACTCGTTTTTTGGTTATTCTACAGGTGTGTACTGAGAGGATGTGTTCCAAAGAAGTTGCTTGTGTATGCGTCCAAATACAGTCACGAGTTTGAAGACAGTCATGGATTTGGTTGGAAGTATGAGACTGAGCCTTCTCATGATTGGACTACTTTGATTGCTAACAAGAATGCTGAGTTGCAGCGGTTGACTGGTATTTATAAGAATATACTTAGCAAAGCTAATGTCAAGTTGATTGAAGGTCGTGGAAAGGTATGCAGAAGCTCGGAGTTTATATAGTTCATGCTTTTACCTCTATGTATCGATTTCATTTGAGCTTGATTATATATTTTTATATGTGCAGGTCATAGACCCACACACTGTTGATGTAGATGGGAAAATCTATACTACGAGAAATATTCTGATTGCAGTTGGTGGACGTCCGTTCATTCCTGACATTCCAGGAAAAGAGTTTGCTATTGATTCTGATGCCGCTCTTGATTTGCCTTCCAAGCCCAAGAAAATTGCAATCGTTGGTGGTGGCTACATAGCCCTGGAGTTTGCGGGCATCTTTAATGGTCTTAATAGTGAAGTTCATGTATTTATAAGGCAAAAGAAGGTTCTGAGGGGATTTGATGAAGACGTGAGTAAAATGAGAATGACTTTGGCTGCTATCGTTTATTCTCTTGGCTATTTTCTTCTAATTGTAATTATAATTCTTGTTTCAGGTCAGGGATTTTGTTGGAGAGCAGATGTCTTTAAGAGGCATTGAGTTTCACACTGAAGAATCCCCTGAAGCCATCATCAAAGCTGGAGATGGCTCGTTGTCTCTGAAGACCAGCAAGGGAACTGTTGAGGGATTTTCGCATGTTATGTTTGCAACTGGTCGCAAGCCCAACACAAAGGTATAGTTCATTGCTTTAATAATTTGTCTAAGATAAACTGACCACTGCTGCTCCTTATTTATGACTTAAATGGAAGCTATTACAATTGTCGTAGAATATGATTGATCATTGATGTAATGTTGGCTGCTATAACAGAACTTAGGGTTGGAGAATGTTGGCGTAAAAATGGCGAAAAATGGAGCAATAGAGGTATGTTTCAGTGTTTTAGCTATTTTTTGTCACCTAGTATTTCTATTATTGCATTGTGCACAGTTCTCTTGTTATACCTGGTTACTTATTGTGTAATTGTGCTCCTTGTTTCCACTTTGTTTTGTAAGGTTGACGAATATTCACAGACCTCTGTTCCATCCATTTGGGCTGTTGGGGATGTCACTGACCGAATCAATTTGACTCCAGTTGCTTTGATGGAGGGAGGTGCATTGGCTAAAACTTTGTTTCAAAATGAGCCAACAAAGCCTGATTATAGGTATCATAACAATCTTAACTTTTGACGTTTAGACCTTTGGAATTTGTGATGATTGATGAGAGTTTTCTCTGTTTAGTCGTACATGATCCATCAGTGATCTAGAACATTTTACAACTGTTGTCTCTGATGGCTTTTTATCCTTTCTGTGTTCTATAATCAACTAGAGCTGTTCCCTGCGCCGTTTTCTCCCAGCCACCTATTGGAACAGTTGGTCTAACTGAAGAGCAGGTAAGTAGGATGATTTGTCAAAAATATGGTTTATTGTTTGTCACTGCGTATAAATGTTAGATACATGTTTGCAGGCCATAGAACAATATGGTGATGTCGATGTTTTCACATCAAACTTTAGGCCATTAAAGGCTACGCTTTCAGGACTTCCAGACCGGGTGTTCATGAAACTCATTGTCTGTGCAAACACCAATAAAGTTCTCGGTGTTCACATGTGTGGAGAGGATTCACCAGAAATCATCCAGGTTTCACTTGTCAACATGATTGGTATTCTCTGAAAAGTAAACATGGAAAACATGTATGATTGAATATGAATTTTATTTTACAATTTTCCAGGGATTTGGGGTTGCAGTTAAAGCTGGGTTAACTAAGGCCGACTTTGATGCAACAGTGGGTGTTCACCCCACAGCGGCTGAGGAGTTTGTCACTATGAGGACTCCAACCAGGAAAATCCGCAAAGACTCCTCTGAGGTTTGTTTGTGAACAGTCAAACTTATCCATCTAGTTACCTCTCGTTGTTTTGCAACACGGAAAAAAGATTGGAACCGAGGTGTGTAATTCCAATTTCATTTCAGGGAAAGGCAAGTCCTGAAGCTAAAACAGCTGCTGGGGTGTAGAGAAGGTTGCAAAAAAGATTGTATTTACGGCATTGGAGCTCCCTGACAAGGTATTCACCAGTTTCCGAAGTATTGGTCCTAATTCCTAAACCTAGAAAAGACATGCAATGCATTAGCTCATACGTGCTTAAGATGTCAATTAGGGTAGACTAGAATCCTCCTCCGTAACTGTGTTTAATATCTGACTTGCATGTTTGCAGGAGAACATTGTGTCTGTGAAGAAGAAGAACTTTTGTTTTTTTCTGGCAGAGAATAATTTTTGATAATGTCGCGTGGAGATATGATCGCCGTCCTGCAATACTTTTGATCGTTTGACCTACACGACCAAATTCCTCGAGAGAGGTTGTAACTTATTCCGAAAGAGCTCTAAAAACTGAAGCTTTCAGTTCTTGTGACTTCCTAAAGAAGGCTGTATAGATAAAACAGTTTGGAGTTTTCTTTGGATTTGTAGTTTTTTTTCTTTTCTTTTTGTGTTGAACTTGTATCGTTGAAGCCACCATTTGGGACTTCATATTAGCATCCTTTGCGAATGAAATAAGCTTTTGAGAACTCAACACGATCACTAAATCCTTGAGTCGTTATCATAATCAGAGTCTCCTACCATTATAAAAATTTCTTGTTTAGAATTGATTTGCTTTTGACCACAAAAAGTATAAACAAATAAATTACATTTTACTGAGATACGTTTTGATTAATATTAGTAAGAGGTTAAAATATTTAAAGGGAGACTCACAAAAATGCCCCTTTTTTAATACCCCTTTTCAAAAATGCCCCCTTTGGCTGTCCATTTTTAAAAATATCCCTTTTTATGTACAAAATGACTAAATTACCCTTCTTTTAATAAAAGATATCACAAATATATAAGGAAATATAACAAAATTAGGTCCACAAAATACAAAATATTTTTTGGCGGGAAAAGTGATCCCGCAATTTTTCCCGCCAAAACACTTGTAAAACCTTTAAAATACCTTGTAAAATTTTCCCGTAAAATTTTTTCCCGCCAAAAATTTTTTTTTGCGGGAAAAGGGATTCCGCAATTTTTTTGGCGTTAAATTTTTGGCGGGAAAATTTTTCCCGCCAAAAATTTACAAGGTATTTTAAAGGTTTTTTACAAAGTATTTATAAGGTTTTACAATGTATTTTAAAAGGTTTTACAACGTATTTACAAGGTATTTATAAGATATTATAAGATTTTACAAGCTATTTTATAAGGTTTTTACAAGTTATAAGGTTTTACAAGTTTTTTATAAGGTTTTACAAGTTATAAATACCTTATAAGTACCTTGTAAAACCTTTTAAAATACATTGTAAAACCTTACAAAACACTTGTAAATACTCTGTAAAACCTTTAAAATACCTTGTAAATTTTTCCCGCCAAAAATTTTGCCGCCAAAAAAATTTCGCAAAAAAAATTGCGGAATCACTTTTCCCGCAAAAAAAAATTTTTGGCGGGAAAAATTTTTACGGGAAAATTTTACAAGGTTTTTTAAAGGTTTTTACAAGTGTTTTGGCGGGAAAATTGCGGGATCACTTTTCCCGCCAAAAAATATTTTGTATTTTGTGGACCTAATTTTGTTTCAAATAAGGGTAAAATGGTCATTAAAAATTAAAAGAGGGCAAACTTAAAAATGGACTCTCAAATGGGGCATTTTTGAAAAGGGGTATTGAAAAAGGGGCATTTTTAACAATTTCTCATATTTAAAAGGAAATATATACATTTAAGAGATTATTATATTAATATACCTATAACTAAAAATCACTATTATAACTTATAAGTAACAATATCTGTATGATTTTGAATGGCCATTAATTTTTTTTTTAAATAGAGAAAATAAATTTTTTGAAAAAGATTGTCCATGAAATTTCCAACTATGATAAAGCAAATATGTCATAATTATATTTATTGGCTTATCGCGACACGAATTCCAGATTCTTATTATTATTTGTTGTGTTTGCTTTAAGTCTTTAACTAGTAACAAATTACTACAAATTGTATTTTTTTGGAAGAATCTTTTCCTTACAAAATAGTAATATTAGTCAACTATTTTCGGCACAGGTTAAGTACAGTGGATCCCAACGTCTACAAAAAAAAGCCACGTGATATATTCCAAAACCAAGGACAAAACTGTAATTCACCAAGCTAGACCTCACGCTCCTTCAATTAGCTGAGCGGCTACGTCTTTCATTTTCATTTTTAACATTTTTTTTGCTTCGGTGTCTTTCGAAATCAATCGCGCGAAAACACCATTTTATCTCCCGCCGTTCCTTCCCTCCTTTTTATTTTTCATCTCTCCCTCCTAATCTCAAATCTCATTCCCAAGCTCCAATCTCTCTTTCTCTCTCTCCCAAATCTCACGATGCAACCTCAGCCGCATATTTCTCCGACCACCGCAACTGCCGCGATCTCAGCCGCGCTTGAATCTCAGCGCGTCCGAAAAAACCGAGGAAGTTACAATTGCGGTAGATGTGGTCAACCTAAGAAAGGCCATGTCTGTCTTTTAACTGCTCCACCTGATATCCCCACTACTCCGATCGCTTCTGAGCCAGTGAGCTGTATCTCCGCCGCCGCATCTTCTTCCCGTTCCACTGTCTTATCCTTAACGACGGCGCCATCATCGCGTCAGTCTTTCACTCACTTACGCCGCGCTTTATCTTTCGATGATATCGATGCGCGTAATTCTCTGGATGAATCCGATCTAGATGCTGCATCGGCGGATCTGGATCTACATTTGGATACGGATATTGTTCAGCCTGGGAGGTTTCATGCGGTTGGTTTATGGGAGGTGCTTAAGAGGCTACCACCGTCGAGTTTACTGATGGCGGCTAGGGTTTGCAAAGGATGGAGAGAGACATCGAGGAAGATGTGGAAAGCGGCGGAGGAGCTTCGGATTAGGGTTCCGGAGAGAGCTCAGATTGGATACATTGGATCTTTATTACAAAAGTGTCCTCGACTTATTAGACTCTCACTCAAAATCGAGAGGTGATTCTTCTTCTTTCGTAAGATCTGTTATTAGATCTGAGAGTTTATTCATCTCACTGTACAAATTAGAGTTAATGATTAAGGAACTTTTAAGAATTATCGATAATTGAAGAACAAAAGTATTAATTGTCTTGTTTATTCGATTAATTGCAATTTATTGTAACGACACATGATTCTGATTGGATTTGTTTGTTCTGCTGCAGTGATTTTGACGCGACGACTCTGGCTTGCATTGCATTTTCTTGTCCTAACCTGGAGGTTTTGGAGATTACTACTTCGGGTGCAGCTGTCAATAGGATTTCTGGGTAAATAGTCTTGTTTGAGTCCAGACTTTTGAGTTGTTATGTGAGATTGAGATTAGGCTTCTTGAATTTTTATGTGATCATGTCATGAATGTAGAAACTGTTGCTTCTGAGGGGATTTATGGTTTAGAACGACTTAAAAATAGCTGTTTGTTCTTCTGTGGATCTGTCTTTGATTGTTCAATGGTTTATTGTATGAATAGGGATGAGCTGGGTCGGTTTGTTGCTAATAAACGAGGACTTACAAGCCTTAAGATGGAAGGATGTTCCAACTTGGGAGGATTTTCCCTCTCTTCATCAAGCCTCTCCACACTCTGGCTATCTGATCTTCATTCTCTCTCAAAGATGGTAATTGAATTTCCATTTTTTCTCTCATTTTTATAGTTCACGAAGGGAATTTATGTATCTAAAGTACAGATTGTTTTGTTCTTTTTGTTTTATCAGATCTTCAACTGTCCAAATCTTACGGAAATATCACTTGAATTTTCTCGCCAAGAAGATGATTCAACTGATCTTGTAACAATGGTTGATGGTTTGGGAAGGACTTGCACTAGATTGCAGAACATTCATATAGCCTCTTTGAAGCTTTCACATACTGTTGTACTTGCTCTTACTGCTGTGAATTTCAGGTTTGTCCAATATCCCTATTTATAGTCTTGTTTTGTTTGTAATAATTCTTCTTATGCACATTAAGTCCACTATTTTCATTTGAGAGCAGTTGTTCTTAGTGATTGATGTCAGTTTCCTTTTCGTCCAGGTATTTGAGAATGCTCTCGCTAGTTCTTGGAATAGATATCACCGATGCATCTGTTGCTGCCATTTCCTCAAGTTACACAAACCTTGAACTGCTTGATCTGAGTGGGTATGTTTTGTTCTCGTTCAGTATATCCTGTCTATATCTCTAGTGGTTTCAGAGTAGTATTCACATGAAGAGTCATTTCTGAGACATGATTCTTTATTGGTTTTAGTTCCAGCATTACTGATACTGGCCTCGGGATGATCTGCGATGTCTTACCTGATACACTCTCAAAATTACTTGTTGCTCTTTGTCCCAACATTACATCAAGTAAATTCTTGATCTTTGGTTTGCATCTGTATTATATTTTATGAGTTTATTCCCTGGTTTCTCATTTCTATTATAATGAATATTCTTGCAGGTGGCATTCAATTTGCTACTGCTCAATTGCCCCTTCTTGAGCTGATGGATTGTGGCATGACTGTGTCTGATCCCAACTCTGATGATCCGACCATTGTAGAGAATCCAAGTCCACATAAAGCACCAGGCTACAATCAGAAGATGTTTATCAAACATAAACGACTGAAAAAACTCAGTTTGTGGGGATGCTCCAGTTTGGACGTGAGATTCCTCATCAATGCTCTCTAAACAAGTTCAACCTTAATATCATCTTCTCATAGTTTCGATCTTTTGATGCAGGCTTTGTTCCTAAACTGCCCAGAGCTCATGGACTTGAACTTGAACTTATGCAGCAATTTGCATCCAGAGAGTTTGGTGCTACAATGTCCAAAGTTACAACTTGTATACGCTTCAGGATGTCAAGACCTATTGACAGGAGCTATCCGGAAACAGGTAATCCCTTGGACATGTGTGATGTCTTAGACATGTGATTAGTTAAAAATAATCTGTTTGAGTCTTACCCAACCCAAACTCTTAAGAAGCGCTCCTTGTTTGTGATAGGTTTCTGAAAACTTTGCCGCTGGGGAAAACCATATGCCACGGAAACGCTTGGCTGATGCGTCGAAGAGGATTCAAGCTCTACCTTCATTATACGAAGAAGTGAGTCTTATTTCTAGGTTTTTGAGAGAGAATTAAGAAAGCAAGAAAGATAAGTAACTGAACGTTTCCATTATTCTATTTTGCAGACAAGAGAGGATGATAATTATGCAGGGAAGAGAAGGAAGTTGGAGAAAGAAGTGTGTACCATTATACATTAATAATCCTTTATTGGACTCATCACAATTTTCATCTATTTATATTTATATTAATATTTATATTTACTGTACTGTGTACATCTGATTATGTTGGATCACGTTCTGTTCTGTTGTTTCACTTATCAACTTTACATGTTTATCTTTGTTCTCCAATTGCTTCGAATAAATTGTATAATAACATTCTGTATTTGTTATTTGTTTACTTTATATACTGATAGGGGGATTTTCTTTGTTTTCAAGTTTTAGTTTATGATTTGTTATTTGCTTCACATGAGAATAATTAGTCAAATTTATTTGGTCTCTTTCTCTCAAAGCATAAATACAACTCTAATCTTCTCCATGAGACTCATGCAAAATGCAAAACCAGTGTGTGCATTTTTATGCTCAATAGAAACTTGAATTATCTAAAAATATGAAAACTTGCTTGTGTTTATGTCAATTTCCTTCCTTTAATTCTTATTTGCAAGAGTGACATATATTTGGTCGTTTTGAAGTTTTGAAAGCCTAACCTGTTCTTTTTCTTGCTAAGAAGTCTAACGTGTTAGCAAATAAGCAAACCATTTTTTTTACTTGGTGTGTTGCAAATTGTTGTCTGCCCAAAAATAATATGCGTTCGCTACAACTTTCAAACTATTTTTTTTTTTTTTGTCAACCACACATTAATTAATAAATAACTCCTTGATTGGTTGCCCAATAAGGAGGAGTAGAGTCTACAAAAGTAACTTCAGAAAATAAAAGTCTAGAAGAATGGGCTAAGGAGTCCGCTTTAACATTACATAAACGAGAAATAAGAGAAAGTGAGAAAAGAGGGAAAGAGACACGGAGAAAACCAAACTCGTCTAGCAGATTGGAGAAAGCGGGCCATTCATTCAGGTGACTGTATCATCGAGACTAACTCCGAGCAGTCTGTTTCAAATGCCTGACAATCGATCCTTCTTGAAAGGATATTCTTCATCGCCCAAATTAAAGCTTCCATCTCCGAGTGAAGAGGGGAGGAACACCTCTTCAAACTAATTATGAATAAATATTTTTGATGTAATCACACCTTTACATTGTTCAAAAAAAGTGTTCCAAAAAAAAAAATCTCACCTTTACAAATTGTTTTTTTTTTTTTTCCTTTTCAAATAGTTTAGAAAGTTCAAATACACTAATTTTTATCAAAGAATAATCTCAGTCAAAAAAATTTAATAATGAAATCAAATATCTTATAAAATGGAAAAACAAAATTATGGGTGTTTGATTTTTACAAACCAAAAATGGAAGATGAAAGTCAGAAGTCAAAATAGCTCGAAAATGTAAGTGACGGCGCCTGAATACTCTTGTCTCTTGGCTGGTAGATTTCACCTACCTCTTTCTTTCTTTCATATATCTCAAACGTGGAATCGCTGTTACTCAGTTTTTATATAAAAATACACTCTCTCTTCTTCAACCAAACCCATTTCCAAAATCCCACAAAGCTTTTCAAATGGCGATTGCTTTCAAATCCGGCGTCTTCTTCCTCCAATCCCCAAAATCCCAAATTGGATTCCGTCATTCTTCTTCTCCTGATTCTTCGCTTTCTTTCAAGAGATTCACTCCCATGGCTTCTCTCTCCACCTCTTCTCCTACTCTCGGTCTCGCTGATACTTTCACCCAGCTCAAAAAACAAGGCAAAGTACGTAAATAAACTCTCCGTCTTTCATTTTTCCAATCCGTTTCTCAAGAATTGGATTTTAAATTTTTATCGTTAGTTCTGGTGGAAATTGGATTTGAAATCATGTGTTGTTGCTTATGAATTCTTATCAGAGTGAGTAGCATTGAGTTTGATTAGGTCTGCAATTTTGGTCCTACTGATACAATTGGATTTGTCAAAGCTCATTTGTATATCTGTATGTGTGAAGGTAGCATTCATACCGTATATCACAGCTGGTGATCCAGATCTCTCTACTACTGCTGAAGCATTGAAAGTTCTTGATGCTTGTGGCTCTGACATAATCGAATTGGGTGTTCCTTACTCTGATCCATTAGCTGATGGACCTGTTATTCAGGTTAAAACTTATAATCAAAATGCCGCCTTTATATCATACTATGCTTCCCTTGCATACAGTTTTCATTTTATTTGTGTTTGATCATCTTGTTATTCGTCATCTATTTAACCAGGCTGCAGCGACAAGGTCGTTGGAGAGGGTAACCAACCTCGATAGCATCCTTGAGATGTTGGATAAGGTGAGTTTGGTTTCTGAAGCAAAGATGTGTGTTTGTGTCCCCTGTCAGATATCATCCTATATGTGTGTTCTTATTGTTGGACTTGGTACAGGTTGTTCCACAAATATCTTGTCCGATTTCGTTGTTCACGTATTACAACCCGATTCTTAAACGTGGATTGGGGAAGTTCATGTCCAGCATCAGAGCTGTCGGTGTACAGGGACTTGTTGTTCCCGATGTTCCTCTTGAGGAAACTGAGATGCTCAGGAAAGAAGCCCTCAACAACGACATTGAACTGGTAAGCATATGCTCTCAAGGACACATATATATCTTGTTCAATTTTGGTTAGCACGATTCTCAGTCATGCCAGTGCAGTATGCACAAGAATTAGTTAATATTCATTTGTGTCTATAGATATGTTTATATCTTTGTCTTCTTGTTCTCCTCGAATTTGGTTTTTTTTTTAGCTGAACCTCCTCCTTATCATTTGTCTCTGTGGAGATTTTACTTGACAGTCTCCTCAACAGAAACGGTAGAAGCATTGTTTAGTGTAGGCACTGAGAGTCTGAGACTACATGTGATTTGCTGTAGCTGCCTCTATCTATTTTGACATTCCGGTTTCAGTATCATTGCCTTTTAGTAAACCTAATTTTGCTCACTGTTTATAATCAAGGTCCTACTAACTACACCAACCACACCAACAGAGCGAATGAAGCGAATTGTTGACGTGTCAGAAGGATTTATTTACCTAGTAAGATCCCTCTCAGTGTATATTTATCTTTGCAGATGGTCACATGTGTTTTCTTAATTTGAGAATGTATTGGCCCTTGTTATTGGGTTTAACAGGTGAGCTCAATTGGAGTGACTGGTGCACGAGCATCTGTAAGCGGAAAGGTTCAGTCGCTGTTGAAGGATATCAAAGAGGTCTGTCTAATAACAGCAGTTGTTTTTTTTATTTTTTATGATTGTTTCTCAGTTATCTTGAAATGATGTAGAAATGCTCAAGTTGTTTAGTCATTTGTAATTCAATGCAGGCGACAGACAAGCCAGTGGCAGTCGGTTTTGGAATATCAAAGCCGGAGCATGTGAAACAGGTCCTAAACCTTAAAAATGCTTCTTCCTAAGGCTTCTCTTATGTTGTCTTCATTGTTGCTTCTTTGATGACTGTTTTTTGTTGTGTCAACAGATAGCTGGATGGGGAGCTGATGGAGTGATCGTAGGCAGTGCAATGGTGAAGCTATTGGGGGATGCAAAGTCGCCAACGGAAGGACTGAAGGAGCTTGAGAAACTCACCAAGTCTCTCAAATCTGCTCTTCTTTGAAACACAAACATTTGCAGACAACATCGTAGATTGTGCTTTTTTTTTTGTTGCTGATTATAATCAATGTGTGACAATGATGTATCAATCTTTTGTTACATTTCAAGTATGATTCAATAAGTTACGGTGACTCAAGCCACAAACAAACCAGTTACTCTGTTTCAAAGACTTCATGAGTGTTTACAAATTTGGTTCGATAAACTTGCGACCCGGTTTGGTATTCTGGTTCCATTAAACCCGAACAAAACCAAGTCCCATATTTTTTTTTTTTTTAACTCAACCAAGTCCCATATTATATTCTTTTTTGAATGAAAAATAAATAAAAGAGTGTTTTAGGTTTTCCAAAATTCAAATTACAAAATATTCCATCCCGCGATAGATTTATTATTTAATTTCCCATCTCCTCCAGTTCTCCAGTGTCGGTTGATTATCTGTAAAAAGCAAAAAGAGATGAGAGGAGGAGCCACGGGAAAGAGAAGAACGACGGTGGGTTTCGGCGGAGCGCCGCCGCCACCACCACCATCAATCGAGCAACAACGTCACCTCTTTAACTCAAGAGACTCCGACGCCAGTTTCGCCAGCAGCCGTCCTTCATCGATCGGTTTAGGCGGCCGAGCGTCCGATGACAGATCTTCGATGATTCGATTCATCAACGCCTTCCTCTCCTCTCATAACTCTCTGATCTCTATCCGCGCTAATCCTGTTCCTTCTGTCAAAGACATCTCCGAAACCCTAAAATTCATTCTCTCCAAATTAGATTACCCTTGCGATTCCATCAAATGGGACGAGGATCTCGTCTTCTTCCTCAAATCGCAGAAATGTCCATTCAAAATCACTAAATCTAGCCTCAAAGCTCCCAATACGCCTCACAATTGGCCTACTGTTCTCGCCGTTGTTCACTGGTTGGTTGAGCTCGCTCGTTTCCTTCAACATCTATCATCCAATTCCACCTCTGTACCCGAAGCTAACTCCATGAATTTCTTCGCGATTCAAAGCTTTAGTCACTTCATTCGCGGCGAGGATGATAAAGTTAACGAGTTAGATTCTGAATTTTTGGGTAAATTGGAAGCGGAGAAGACTAGCGTCAGTGAAACTATCTCTGGTTGTGAGAAAATCTCCGGTGAATTGGAGGCTAAACTTGAGTCACTGAGGAAAGGTCCGTCGAAGAAAGAGTCTCTGGAGAAAGCTAAAGCCGATTTGGAGAATGACGTCAACAAGTTCCGAACTATTATTGCGGAATATACTGAAAAGAATCCAGCGCTGGAGAAAGTTGTGGAGGAGAAAGATAAGGAGCTTAAAGCTAAGGAAGAAGAGAGAGAGCGAATCTCTGAAGAGAATAAAGAGTTGAAGAAGAGTGTGGAGCTTCAGAACTTTAGCGCCAGAGATGTAGAGAGGATGAGAAGAGAGTTACAAGCTGTGGAAAGAGATGTTGCAGAGGCTGAGGTTGCTAGAGATGGTTGGGATCTGAAAGCTTGGGAACTCAATTCACAGATTGGGAATCAGTTTCATCAGATTCAAACACTTTCCATTGATTGTAACCAAGCTCTTAGAAGATTGAAGATTGATATTCAGTTTGCTGTAAATGAGAGAGGGAAAACACCTGCAAAGGTGATGGGTGTGGATTATAAATCTGTGGTGAAGCCAGCTCTGTGTTCGCTGTACGATGGGATTAAAGGAAGCTTGACGGAGAAAATGGAGGAGTTGGTCACTTTACAGCACCAGGTGTCTGAAATGGCTTCGAAGATCGAATCCAAAAAGAGTCTTCTTGGGTCAATTCAGTTGCAGATCAATGAACTCGAAGAAAAGATGAAGTTGGTGAAGAAGGAAACTCAGGAGTTGACTACAAAATGTGACTTGGAGGCAAAAACATTGGTTGAGAGTGTGAAAACGGAGGCTTTGAATCTGGAGGTTGTGGAGAAAGAAGCTGCTGAGTTTTTAAAAGCTTCGGAGGTTAGATTGCAAGAAGCAGAAAAGCAGAGTGAAGAGGAGGTCCAAGCATGTGCTGCTCAACTCTTTGCACTTATCGATTCGATATCGAAACAGAAAGAGTACATGGATTTGAAGATATTGGAGATCAAAACTTGTGTTGCTGATACTGCCAGTGCTGTTTCAGAGATATACAAAGCAAACTTCAAGAAGCACCTAGGTATCTAGGGATTGGCATCAACTGAGCCAAGAGATTGTTAAAAGCGTGAGTAATTTGCATCTTTTGTTACTATTGTTCAAATAGTCATATTAGCATCTATGTGGTATGTATGAGTTTTCAGGATGGATTATTGAAATTGCTCAGCTGTGCTAGTAGTATATAAGAATCTGTGTTTTTTTTCATTGAAACTTGAATGATAGGCACAGATTCTAATATTCACAATGTTTTACTCAAGGACACTGTTATGACCAAGTTACATAGGATTTCCCGTGAATAACTCATACCTTCTTTTACCATAAGCGGACTTAGATGATTGTTCTGTTACCTGGTCGGGGTCTCTTGAAGTCAGGTTTTGTTTGCAGATGCTGGCTGGCGCGGATGTAACCTCTTTGGGTTATCACTTTTCTTCAATCTCACTGAGTTTCTCCCTGACACTTTGAACGGTTTGGTTCATTGATGATGACTCATAATACACATGGCTAGTTGAAACTCGGCTGATAGGAGCATTTCCTTTTATTGGAGTGGCACTCCATCTCTCCTTGTGGGGAGAAATTATCCATTTGGGTCAATTTTGTATCTTGGGAGGTGCTCTGGGAGTTCACTTGTTTTCCATTACTTGTTTAAAGCTTACTCGTGCATCATATGTGGTGTGGTGAATATCTTAATTGATGATATGAATGACACATAGGCCTGGGCACGAAGCGGATATCCGGAAAAATTGTGATATTTGTTATTCGATTCGTTTTCACCGAATACCTGATTTTGTGATTTGCTTTGATTCGAAAATTTCCGGATATCCGGAAATTCGAATATCCAATTTTTTTTGTGATATTTGCGGATATCCGCTTTGATAAATATAAATATTAAAAAAATCTGAAAACTATATAACCATATCAGATATTTAAAGTTTTTATTTAACATGCTTTCAAAATAAGTTCCAAATATCAAACATAACCGTTGTTGTTATCACCGATCAACAAAATGTTATCAAATTAATTCCAAAAACCAAAACCCGATAGATTAAGATGTCATTGATCAAAACATAACATGAAAGAAAAATGATCAAACAAACATCTTAACATAAAAACATAAGGTAGTAACAATACACAAACTATTTATGATATCTATATATGGACATATATATGTATTCTAATATATATCAAAAGATACGGATCGAAGCGGATATTCGATTTTTTAAAAAACAATATTTGTTATTTGCTTCGATTTTTACGAATACTACATTTTCCTATTTGATTTGGTCCAAAATCTTACGGATATTTGGATTTTTCGAATCGAATCAAATCGAATACCGAGTCGAAGCGGATCGAACGAATATTTTGCCCAAGCCCTACACAGCAACTAAAGTAGAAATTTAAATACCTTATGATTTTTTTCCCGACGAATGCCTTATTTTGCCTTTTCAATTAAATTAACAGAAAAAGAAATGTTGGTTAGTACAAATCCAATAAAAAAGAGAAACGTGTCAAGTATCCTAATCAATAATGGCGGCTCCACGTAAGACAACACAGAGAAAAAGAAGAGAAAAAAAAAACAAATTAGAGAGAGAGAAAAAAAGAGAAGAATCTGAGGCGATTGGGTAAGCGATGCACATCGTTTTCTCTGTCGATGATTTGACCGAATCCTTCTGGCCTGTTCCCGCTCCGGCGCCGTCGCCGGGATCGTCATCGACTCCGGCACCGACGCAGAACGTGGCGGCGGATGGGATGACTCGTAGTCAATCGGAGTGGGCGTTCCACAGGCTTCTCAATGAGTTATCCGGTTCCGATTCGAGCCCTACGACTAACACAATCGAGAGATCACCTCCACCGGTTCAGTCTCTTTCGAGATTAGAAGAAACCGTTGACGAAACCGAAGATGTTGTCGAGATTCAGAAACCGCAGAATCATCGACGGCTTCCTGCCGATGATCAAGGGAAGAATCGGACTCGTCCTCCGTCGTCTGATCCGTTGGATTCTTCAGCTGCTGGGGTTGTTGATCCTAATCAGTATCATGCGATTCTTAAGAGCAAGCTCGAGCTTGCTTGCGCTGCTGTTGCTCGTCGTGTACGTCTTTTAGATCCATCTTTTTATGTGTTCAGACGAAAGGAATTCAGCATAACATTTTGGTGTTGATTGATTTGATTTTTCGCAGGTGGGAACTGTGAAACCGGAAGATTCAAGTGCTTCAGCTACCAATCAAAAGCAAGCTCAAGGTTACATATCGTTGCTTTGTTTTGGTTTTTGGTTTTTGACTCTCTCTAGCTTTGTCTCTCTTCTATGTCCATGTTTAGATTAGATGAGTATACATTTCAGGAGTTTTTTTTTTTTGTCAATTTGACTAGAATATTTGATGAAATGTTTTTCAGTTGGTGGATAATGAGATTATTTTGATTTTTCTAGGCTCCATTGTGGCACAAACCTCACCTGCTGCTTCATCTGTTAGATTTTCTCCCACAACAAGCACGCAAAAGAAACCAGATGTTCCAGCCAGACAAACTACTAGTATTTCATCAAGAGATGATTCTGATGACGATGATCTTGATGGAGACGCAGATAATGGAGATCCTACTGATGTGAAGCGTGCTAGGAGGTACAATTCTTGATTTTTGTATCTTAGAATGTTTTTGGTAATCGTTCTGAATCTCGAGGTTGATATATATAGACATGATTTTGGAGAAAGGTTTGTGGCTGAGAGTTTCTACTCTCTTTATAGAGTAAAGAAAGAACTGAAGTCTAGTAGGCGAATGTATCAGTTAGTTTTATGTTGTTCTTAGGAAACAGTCAGGCTCTTTATATTTAATTTTTTCAAGGTCATCCTGATTCAGTATTTTGTAATTACACAGGATGCTCTCAAACCGAGAATCCGCTAGGCGCTCTAGGAGAAGAAAGCAAGAACAAATGAATGAATTTGATACACAGGTTCGGTCTTTCATTAGTTGCTCATACATTTTACACATTTCTCGATTCTTTCTTGCTTTTCAGCGGTTGTCGGGGTTTTATAGGTAAAGTTTTTACCAATTGTGTAGGTAGGCCAATTAAGAGCTGAGCATTCAACTTTAATTAATCGTCTTAGTGACATGAATCATAAGTATGATGCAGCTGCTGTTGACAACAGAATTTTAAGAGCTGATATCGAAACTTTGAGAACAAAGGTATATATAGATTCTGTTCTTGTGACTCATGCGTGTTAAGAATTTATAACACCCAAGATTATGATCCAATCTTATTTAATAACTATGTTTATTGCATTATTAAAAAAACTTGTGCAGGTTAAGATGGCAGAGGAAACTGTGAAAAGAGTGACAGGAGTGAACCCTTTGCATTGGTCAAGACCAACCATGGGCGTACCATTCAACAACACACCGAACGCTTCCTCTAGAATTCCGCCAAACTCTAACCACATTTTGAAACCAGCAATCCCAAGTACAACCACCAGTGCCGGTTTAGCATCAAATCAGAGAGTAGAGACGGCAAATTTCTTGCCGGAACAGGTGAACCGTGAAGGCATGCAGAATCCATTTGCTCATGATTCTAATCTGTATGAAACCCTACCCCATTGGAATCACAAGCATTAACCATAAGAAGAGTCAATGGTTTTGTGATTTTGATTGAGGTAAGGCAACTATTGTCTGTATGTTTTATTTACTGTGACTCAGCGACGGTAAACTCTTAATATTATATATATGATTGGACAAAATGGAAGAATGTTAAAGCTATCGTATTTCTAAGGCAAATCGAAGTTGAAATGGTCGCGGACGTAAACACATGTGAAGCTGCGTAAGCGTAAACATTTTTATAATACTTAAGTTATGGCAAACGTAATCATTTTAACGAAAAGTTAGAAATCAACAATGTTTCGTTGGCAACAACTCACGCGTACATCAGATTAAAAAAATTTGTAAAGCACTTTAAGTGACAATGTCGCTCAATCTCTTATTTTGCCTCTCACCGCCAAAAACTGGTGATCCCGTTCAATATCAAAATCTGGTTATTTGAATTTCATCATAAAAAATTAGTAAAATAAAACATGTCTTTACAGTTGAAAATAAGCTTTATAAACTAAATATAACCAACAAAACAATAACTTAAACATTATGAATCTAACTATTTACCTATGGGAACGTCAAATCACGGAAAGTAAAAAAAAAGCTCCATCATACATGGGCCTAATATGAGTTTCAGGTTGTGTCCAAGAAAGTCTCTAAAAATGAAATTAATATGACTTCTACCATTTCTTCTATTGAGATTTAGCACCAGACTGGAGACCTGCTTGTACTTTGCTATGGAAGTGTGTTTCCAACCTTGAGAAAAAAAAAAAAACACAAAATAAATGCACTACTTCATTACTGAATAAGAAGAGAAGAAAATAAATGAAAGAAAAAAACGTCTTACCTGGTTGCACATTTGTAATAAATGGTATCGGGGGAATTGTAAGTTCTACAATTGTTAAACATCCGTCTCGCATCAGCAACAAACATATCGAGTGTCACGTAATACTGTTCCGATTCTACCCTCTTTGCGATAACCTTCAGATCTGTGTTCATACGATTTTTGGTTAACCAAAGTGATAACATTTATACTTAAAAGGACAAATTCTGGACTACTCAATACCGAAATTGATATATTAACTATATCTTCTTACCAATGGGATCTTTAATGATATCATAGTAATCAGGGACATCGCGAGAATCGACTGGTTCTTTGAAAGGCCAAGCATCAGCATGGTCTTGCATTGTCTGTTGCAATTCACTACAGCTTGTCAAACTTAAGGGCATGTAATTGCAATAACATAATGTGTAAGAGGACATTATGATTCATAACAAAGCATTGAAAGGAGGACAACCTTTAAAAGCGCACGCATAAGTGCATTCAACTGTTTTTGATTTGTCGCCATATCCGCAGAACAATTGAATAATTTGAAACGAGTGTGCCCCCACTGATCTGGGGTCCAACCAGCTTCCCCTGCAATATTTTACCATTATTTCTGTATTAGCAATTATCAAACTATAATTACACAACATGACGAGAACTATTACAGGTTTTAAGCCAATTCAAGTATTACAGATAAACCTTAGCCCACAGCTAGCAAATGCAGGAATCTTAAAGACGCAAATCAACTTAATCTCATGGAGCCACTAGCACAAGCTTAATTTTGAGATGACTAGAACATGTTAAAGGGAGATAAATCTATTCTTTGGGTAAAAGCTGTACACCATCAAGTAAAATCATAACTTACTTAAGCCACGAATTTCCTCAACTTTGATAATCTTTCTAGGAATTCCAGCTTCATTCTGCAAAAATCATCTCATTTATTATTACTACTGGAATCATTGTATAATAATAGTCACAAGAGACACAAAACCATTGATGTTTACCTTTAGAAACTCAATTTTTGGATACACATTCTGACAGTTTGATAACTCTCTTATCCTTTCATCAATTGCCTGATATTATAAAAGTACAACTGGATCAGAAACTGATATGTATAGTTAGACAGTAATGTAACCAATGGTTACTCGTTTAGTGGTTACTTTTTAGGCTGTGAGGGTTTTTTTAGTGGTAGGTTGCTATGCTCTCTTAGTCTCTAAAGAATAAGCAGATAGCTTTTGGGAGGACAGCTTGATTCTTGGGCTCATAGGGGAAGACAGGAACTTCCGTTAATTAATTCCGAGAGAGAGAGGAGAGGAACTTAAAATAAACGAATCCTGAGGTTTGTATTTCTTATGTTTTAAAATCTTTTCAGAATCAGCAATAATGCAGTTATATAGTGAAAGTAAAGAAAGTAAACAAACATCTTCATATAACCTGAAAACTATTTGGGTATAGATAAACCTGAAGGCTCGAGATATTTTCAATGGCTTACCTTTCTTTGCTGGCGTATCATGCTTGACAAATCCGTATATGGAAGCTTTGGATCAATTTTGCATTCCATAAGGAGACCACCATCATAGTCTTTAATGAACCTAAGAAAATTTCAAAGGTTTTTTATTTGCAAAAGTAAGTTTCTTGATGTAGAAGAGAATGATAAGACAAATTTTGAAAAGCTCTCTGGTAGCATAATCAGCTAAGAAATAAAATGCTCGTATCCTAAGGTTTGTGAGCTTAATCGGGCCAACATATATTTCAGTCAGACATCATACATATAAAGCACAGAAGTTAAGAACGGTAAATATCAGTTTGAACTTAAGAGATAAATAGTTTCCATACCCATGCCATACATCTTTCTCCAAGTAAATCTCTTTAGTAAAACCCTGCACAAGATAATAGACATAACAGATCAACTTAGAGAACGACTGTAAAATTTCAGAATTACAGTTAGTATCCCAGCAAAGTAGACTTGATAGCAAAGTGTGGAAACAGAACTTTTTTTGAAGTGAAAAAATGAGGTATATCCTATTAACGAGATGACTTAGTTCCAATTTCTTTTTACCACTTTTATTCTATTCGGACATGAAGTTATAGAAAACATTGCATGGAAAACACAGTTCAATTCCCTTTTTGAAATGTACTAACAGTTGGTTGAAGTTTGTTGTCAGATTAAATATAGGAAAAATTGCACAATATACGAAATACACCAACCTGCTTGACAAAGTAACCAACGGCATTGTTGTCAGCATAAGTAAGAAAATGCGTCAATCCATCAACATCACGTGCATGTTGTTTCAAGTGGTTCATCAATCTGGTACCATAACCTTTTACTTGTTCATCTGCTGTGATTGCGCAAAATGCTATTTCCCCAAACTTCTGACTGAATCCCAGGAAAACAGTGGAGTTAATAAGCATGTCAAGACTGTATTCATGCTCATTATCACACAGACAGTTACAGAAATATTCAATTGGAAGAGTAAGCTGTGCTTGATGATACTATAAGATAACAAGTCAATAAACTACTCTCTAAAGAGCAAAAAGCTGTATAAGTGTATTCATATATATATATATATATATATTTGTGGAGAAAAATCATCACTAGTAGTATATCATTGAGGTCAAAACCTTACCTGCGATATGGACGATACGTGATACCACCTACAACTAGATTTCCTCTTAGGACCATAACAGACTTATGTTTCCTGGCCAAATAACATAAGTTACAGATATTAGAATGCTTACCATTTTGCCATTGTTCGATATAAAAAAGTAATGTTTTACTTTAGTTTATCATCTTTACCTATCCATCAGAAGACGAACAATGTACTCCTTGGGCATATTAGGCAACTGTCTTGCAAATATGTTCTTCAACCCAACCAAGCTAGAATACATTCAACCAATTATTCAGAAAACTCCTCCGCAATGAGGTTAGAACGAAAAAGGCATAGCTAATTAGAAGCTAAAATTCGGTGGCAGGACACAATTGAGATAAGGAATTACCACATCATATGCTCATCAATGCAATCATTTGAGTAACAAACAAATTTGAGTCGTCCTGCTTGCTCCTAAAAGAAAAGATATCACCAAAGTTGTCAATGGCGATTCTCTGAACTCATCTAATAAGTCATAGGCAAGATCAAGCCTATAAAGATACGATCCAGTGATAAGCTACCTCTCTTTTCAAAGTCTCTTCTCTCGCAATGTAAGCTCCGCTAGTCTGAAAATTCTCAGCCAATACCTTAACAGACTCATCCTTTGGCACCAGCCCTGAGATTGAGCTTCCTCCAACAGTGCCACTTACACCAGTCCCAACCACAGATGATCCACCATCTTTTCCACCATCAGAGCTCTCAAGCTTAACCGTGGAGCTCTCCGTCTTAAGCTTAGTGTTACGAGTCGAACCGTTGACTCCTGAGCTGGAATCGAGTCGAGCGGCGGTGAAAGTGCGGATAGAAGAGTCCTGGTCCTGTTCAGGAGCAAATTCGTCCTCGTCATCGTCCACGACTATATCCTCTGATTCATCAGGGTCTGAATCTGTATCAGCGCCGCGAGCGGAGATGCTCTCGAGTTCATCGTTGGAGGTTAAGGCGCCGTCGCGAGTATCGGCGGAGAAGGAGGAAGGAGGGAAAGAGGTAGAAGGAGGGGCGTGATCCTCAGACGCGGCTGCATTCGCTGCCGTAGTGGCGGCGAGTTTGCGCTTGTGGAGAGAAGAAGTGACGGAGGCGGAGGCGGAATGAGAAGGAGAAGGAGTCTGAGAGCTGCGGGAACGATTGGCCGCGTTGAGGTGGGAAGAGTGAGAGTCCATTGAAGCAGAATAGTGAAGGTGATTGAGCAAATCGTGACGAAATCAAGAGTCTAGGGTTTTGCTCAGATATATGGGGGCGGGAAAGACGACGCCGACGAACGGAATATTCTGGGCTTCAGTTTTTTTTATGATCCAACAAATTTTAAACCGAAACTAATTTGGTAATTCCAATAAGGCTATAACTATAAAAATGTGATTTACCATTGGTCGGCTACAAGTAATAAAGTAATACTATATAGTATCATATTCGTCGGTAAATTTTTTTTTTTTTAAATCTTATTTTTGTTATACATTATATGGAATAATTCCGTCTTCAATCCGTTAATATGTTGCTTTATAGTACTCCCTCTGTCCCATTTTATAAGATGTTTTGTGTAAAAGCACAAAGATTAAGAAATAGTTAATGTTTACCTTTTTATAGGAATTCAGCCAATAGAAAAAAAGACTGCAGAATTTAAATGGTCATAACATACTAAATAAACATAAATTATGCATAGAAAACTGGGAAAATCTTATAAAATGGAACAAGGAAAAAATGCTAAAACATCCTATAATTTGGGACAGAGGGAGTATGTTGTTATTTGCACAAAAGAAAAAAGTATGTTGTTAAATCTAAAGCAACAAAAAATATTATGTTTGGAATATGTTACTTTAGAAAAATCACATATGTCTTTGACAAAAAAAAAAAAAAAAAAAAAAAAAAATCACATATGTTTAGAATATGTTAGTCTTCGTCTCATTGTTCCGTTTAGCCAGTTAACGATATGTTTCAATTGACTTGGTTAACGAAAATTTGTGATTAAGTTGAAAATCAACATAAAATTGAAGATTTAAATCACCAGGTTCACATAAAATTGAGGATTTAAATCACCGTGTTCATGCTTTAAACCAACGAAAATGGTAAACTGATGATTTAAATACATTTTTCCCTTTAAAAAAGTGTGGCAACTCTTTTTCCCCATATATGCAATCCAAGCTTGTACATAGATAATTAGACACGCAATTAAGTACATAGATATCTTTATTTTCAGGCATTAGACAGTAAATTAAAGCACCACTTGACATTATATAATTATTAGAATACAACAGAGAGACCAAGTGCAGTCGACAATGCATACAAAAAGTCAGGAAGATCGGAAGTTGATGCGGCTGTGATCAGCTTGTCGTCGGTCACACACCGTTCCAATTCCACGATCTCACCACCAGCAACTTTCATAGCCACCTTTGTCCCATAACTACTTGCACATCTCTTCTTCTGTAATGTAATAATAGTATGCCACATTGAAAATCAGATGAGTTAACAAGTTGGCAAAAATTAAACCTCTGCTAAGGAAGTGGTGCCATATCTATGATTGAATATCATTTAAATGAAAATGCGGTTTGATTCAGCTTCAGTTTTAACTTTTAAGTCTTGAAAATAGTAAAACGTTTTGATTTAATTCAGTTTTGTTGATATTACCTTAAGAGCGCCTGTGGCAGCAAGTAGCCAATTTCCCATTCCAATGGCAGCAACAAACTTGCCTTTCTCAACAAACGTTTTGACCAATTCGACAGCCTTGGGATTCATCACCAAGAGCTCTGGAGATCTTCCTCCGGGAACCACAATGCAGTCGTAATCATCCACAGAGACATCATCCCACGCAACGGTCACATAGAAGTTGTGACCAAACTTCTCAGTAGGAAGTTGCCGTCCATCTTCAAGGTCGTGAACGATTGTAGCACATTTCTCACCTCTCTTCTTGGTTGGCGTCACTGCGTCCACTTTACATCCCAAAGCTTGAAACGCTTTAAATGGTACGTTGATACTATAATCTTCAACACAATCCTAAATATACAAAAATTACATATTACTCAGACCAAATAATTTGTGTCATTTAAAAAATAAAAAATTACATATTACGTATGGTTCATACTCTTTCACGTGTTAGTTGAGATTTGTGGTTAGTAATGAACATTTTTTCCTGAATTTATAAATGGAATTAATAGAGTCGATCGAAGCTTACCCCGATCAAGAAAAGCAAAGAAGGCTGGTGATTCTCTTTAGAGCTAGAAATCTTGGAGCCAAGTGATTCAAACAAAACTCTGAGACTGTGGCCAAGCGTTGGCCACCCCATAGTGGACATGAAACTGCCGTCCTTGACACAATCAGTTATGTCGAAAAGGGTCTGGACTCCAGGCTGTTGCCACCACGCTCCGCCGGAGAGCTCTATCAACGGTTTCATGCTTTCGAACGCCGTGCACTTCATTCCACCGGTGAGCAGACCCGCCGCCGCGAGAAACAGTTGGCTGTGGCAGCTGGTGAAGATGAGCTTCTTGAGTTCGGCGAATCTAGCCACAAGACTCACGCATTTCTCGTCGGCGCTCAAAAGTTCCGTGAAACGTCCACCGGGAATGATGATGGCGTCGTATTGGTCGGGGATGACGTCATCGAAGTTTGCGTTTAGTGTTAGATGGTCAACCACCAATTCGGTGTATATCTGTGAAAAGGTAAAAATCAAAGTGTTACTCTTCTTTTTTACTATAAAGAGTAGGCCCATGCATTTTGGGTTGAGACCACCCAATTATCTAAACTTTTTGGATAAAGATAATAGAAATCAACGATTGGAAGGACTAAACCGAAATGAAGAAAAAGTGAAAGATTAGAGAAATGCCTCGAGGCCAAGGAGATCATGAGCTGCCATGACGCACTTGTCGCCAGTTTTGCGACCAGGAGAAACGCAGTGGACGCTAACGCCAAACGCTTGGAGGACGTAGAGAGGTACTATAGTCTCATAGGCTTCCATGAACTCTCCGCATAACATCAATACTGATTTATGAGCCATTAATGATCCCATAATTTTCTCTTAAGACAAGCACACAACACACACAACTACGTGTGTGTGTATATATATGAGTTCAAATTATCACAGTGTACTTTTTTCTCCAATAATGAAAGAGATAAGGTTATATATAAGTGGATACGGTGCTTTAGCTGAATTAATTTTTTTCTCCAACTTGTTATTGTAAAGAAATAAAACAGCAATTTAGCTGAATTAATTTGGGTTTCCTTTGGAGTGGATGGAGGAGAATTGTATTTGTTGAATAAATTGTTTTTGCTACCGTCAACATATTTTTTTTTTGTTATACATGAAACTTAAAACTCAATAGTCTTGTAGCCACCATTCAAAACTCGAATAAACTTGGTCGATCTCAATGAAATTAAGCAGAAGGTTCCATATGAAGATGCGGATGATACCATTGTGTTTAATTATATTATACGTGAGCAGAAATAATAATAGGAAAATATTTGCAGTAGATTTATTAAAAAATAAATTAATATCAAACTGCAACAATTTTTATTTCGTTTCAAAAATATAGAGCGGTTTAGTTCGCCAGTAGATTAATTTGCTATGTCCACTCTCACCATTTAAAATTGAAGAGTTAAAATAAACACGTGTTAATTGCAATTTTCCTAACCACCAACCTCTCACCTACTTGACATCTTCTTCTTCTTAACCGGGAAGCCAAATGTAAAAAAATGGTTGCTTGCATTTTATTAAGGAATTGCAAGCAACAAACGAATCAGTGTGTGTGTGTGTCTAAGCCTGCGTAGAATAGAATCTCATGAACAAAAACAAATTACAAGGCTTGCATTTTATGTAAATGGCAGAGTGCATGCAGCCATGAAACTAATTTATTAAAAATTAATCTATTCTTAGTTATTTATATATGTACATTTCTTCTATAAATTTTAAAAATAATTTTAGTTATATTCCAAACTTTAGAATGGTCGAAAATCAATTTTTACCATATGATTAGAAGAAGGGTTTTGTGCAAAAAAACCCTCCAACTCGCCCATTTTTGCAACTTTACCCTCCATCTCCGAAAAATGCAGATTAATACTACGAAGTCCCAAATAATGTGCAATATAACCCTTATTCGTATATTGTAAACGTTTTTTCGGTCACATACATTGGTTTTTTAAAATTCTAAAAGTAGAGTTGAACTCTTCATCGCGAGGGCTTCGATTTGATATATTATTTGTCAAAATTTTACGAACTTGACGGTAACGAATAAGGGTTATATTGCACATTATTTGGACTTCGTAGTATTAATCTGCATTTTTCGGAGATGGAGGGTAAAGTTGCAAAAATGGGCGAGTTGGAGGGTTTTTTTGCACAAAACCCTTAGAAGAACATATAGCTTTAATTTAGAAATATGTATACTTCGAAATATGTAGTTGAGAATTGATTAAATTTGGAAACAATTAATCAAAATATCATTTAAAGCATATTGTTGGATCACGGTAAAAAATATTCAATAGCAAATGATTAATATATGACATGTAGTGATTTCATGGGTTATAGCTTCTCTAATTATCTCTTATCTATCTTGTTTAGTTCTTTGTGAATGTGTCAAAGAGAGATGCAAGATGGAAATGATTAATGATGTATCTCTATAGTCTATGAGTTGGGTTGGGTCGATTGGTCTCAGGGACTGCTAAAACCATCCAAAAGCAGAAATGAACACTTATTGCATAACGCTTCAAGGTAATTGGAGGGAGACCGGTTTTCAATGTCCAAAATGGTCGAATCACCAATCCAGCCATCATGATTTCACAGGTGAGTAATATTGTTTAAGAACCCTAAGTAAAACCCTTTTGATCAAGACTTGTGTTTATAAGAACAACTTTTCTTATTACCTTTGAAACTTACTCAAAACAAAGGCCTCACACAATCTCTCAATCTCTAACACACATATGGAATACCACACCTTGGCATCTCATATTTATACACAAACATAAGCCCTAGTTTTACAAACCGACTTGCTCATAAACCGACTTTAACAAGATATTACTTAGGTTTTAGATAACTCCTAAAAACCCTTAATCTTTTATCTCAAGTTAACTTCTAACTCTAGTTAACTTCTTAATCATAAGCTTCTATCTCAAGCTTACTTCAACATTCACCCCTTTAAGCTTGAGAACTTCTTGTGATATGTCTTGAACTCCTACAAGATCCCTCATCTCGCTAAACTTGATTCTTCCTAAGGCTTTGGTTAAAATGTCCGCCTTTTGTATGTCTCCTGGAACATGATCTACTTCAACTTGTTCATTTGCAATACATTCTCTAATGAAGTGATACCTCTTATGGATGTGTTTACTGCGTCCATGGAAGACAGGATTTTTTGTGAGTGCTATAGCCGACTTATTGTCAATTAAGATCAGCACCTTTTCACAGACTTCCTCAATGATCTCTCCTAGAAGTTCCTGCAACCAAATGGCCTGTTTAGCAGCTTCTGTTGCAGCCATGAACTCTGCTTCACATGAAGACAAAGCCACTGTTTCTTGTTTTTGAGAACACCAAGTAATTGGACAATCATTTAGATAGAAAATGTGGCCTGTTGTGCTTCTCCCATCATCCTCATCAACATTATGACTGCTGTCACTAAATCCTACTAGCCTCATTTTATCCTTTCGACCAAATGATAGACCATAAGATTTAGTTCCTTGTAGGTACCTTAGAATCTGCTTTAATGCCGCTCCATGTGATTCTTTAGGATCATGCATGTACCTGCTTAAAACTCCTACACTGAAGGATAGATCTGGTCTAGTATGAAGTAGATATCTTAAGCACCCGATATTTCTCCTATACTCTTTTTCATCTATACTCTTTTCTTCCAAAGCTTTACTTATCTTTAGATTTGCAACCATTGGTGTATGTACTGCATTACATTCCTCCATTCTGGCTTCACTTAAGATTTTCAGTGCATATCTCTCTTGTCTTAGCATAATTCCTGCTTCATGTTGTATTACTTCTATGCCAAGATAGTAAGTAAGTTTTCCCAAATCACTCATTTCAAATTTTGAGGCCATCCCTCTTTTAAATTCGAAAATTACATCCAAGTTAGAGCCTGTTACCAGAAGATCATCGACATAGACTGCCACCACAAGAGCCTGCTTATTCTCTTCTTTCCGATACAGTGATGGTTCCTTAGAACATTTCACAAATTTCAACTCCGTAAGGATCTGATTCAGCTTGTTGTTCCAAGCTCTTGGAGCTTGCTTCAGCCCATACAATGCTTTGTTTAACTTGTATACTTTGTTCTCTTCACCTTTGATCATATATCCTTCAGGTTGTGTCACATACACAGTTTCTTTTAGTTCCCCATGGAGAAAAGCTGTTTTTACATCAAGATGATGAATTTCCCAACCTTTTGATGCAGCTAGAGCAATGATGAACCTAATTGTTTCAATGCGAGCTACTGGAGCAAATACTTCATCAAAATCTATACCATGTCTCTGAACATATCCTTTGGCTACTAATCTAGCCTTGTATTTATTTATGCTACCATCAGAATTTCGTTTGATTTTAAACACCCATTTTAAGCCAATTGCTTTAGACTCTGCAGGAAGAGAAACTAAATCCCATGTTCTGTTCTTGTTTATGGATGAGATTTCTTCTTCACATGCATCTCTCCATTCTTTTAGTTCTTTTGCTTCCTCAAAATTCCATGGTTCTTCATTAAGACTTAGTAAAAGTCGTTCTGTTTCAAGTTCAGCTAATAGGAGGTAGTCTTTTAAGTAACCAGGCTGCTTTGTTTGTCTTTCTGATCTTCTGAGCTTTGGTTGTGGCTGGTCTTGATTCTGCTCAGTTTCTGTTTCAGGCAGTTCTGGTGCTTCTGTTTCAACTGATTCTTTTTCACTATCCTGTTTTTCATATTCCTCTGTTTCTCCTGATTTACTTTCACTATTTCTGATGCCATTGTTTCCGAATTCTCCAAAAATAATATTGAAAGTTCCAGGGTTTTCATCATTCTCTTCAAGATTGTTCCATTTCCATCCTTTGGATTCATCAAAAACTACATCTCTGCTTACAATTATCTTGCGTTTTGTTGGATCTAGTAATCTATAGGCTTTTGAACCAGGTTCTGTTCCTAGATATACCAATGTTCTTGACCTGTCATCAAGCTTCTTTAAGTGATTAGACTCTACTTTGGCAAACGCAGTGCAACCAAAGATTCGCAGGTGTTCTATATTTGGTTTCTTTCCCTTGAATGCTTCATATGGAGTCTTGTCAACTAAAGTTCTTGTTGCCACTCTGTTAATGACATAGGTAGCATGTCTCACTGCTTCCCCCCACAAGTAATTTGGTATGTTCATGTGTTTCAAAATGCTTCTTGTCATCTCCATAAGTGTCCTGTTTCTCCTCTCTACCACTCCGTTTTGTTGAGGAGAATAAGGTGCTGTCAAATGTCTCTTGATGCCAGAAGTTTCACAGAAATTTTGAAATTCTTGAGACGTGAACTCACCTCCCCTATCTGTTCTTAGGGTTTTTATGTTCAATCCAGTTTCTTGTTCAACAATTGTCTTGAAACTTTTGAATTTGTTGAGGCTTTCACTCTTTTCTTTGAGCAGGTATGACCACATATACCTTGAATGATCATCAATTAAAACAAAAACATACCTGTTATGTGCTGCAGTGGGTGGTGTTATTGGTCCACACAAGTCTCCATGAATAAGCTCTAGAACACATGAAGCACGAAATGATGTTGCCTGTGGAAATGTTTTCCTTGTCTGTTTTCCGAGAAGGCAAGAGGCACATGTTTCTTTTTCAACTTGAATATTTGGTAAACCAGTGACTAACTCCTTCTTTATCATTGTTTTCATGTTTTCAAGGTTAATATGACCCAATCTAGCATGCCATGTGCTTGATTCTCTGATTTTCTCAACTTGTAAACAATTCTGATTCTGAACTTCAGCTTCCATTAAAACTTTGTAGAGTCGATTCTTTGATCGTAATGCTTTTA